GGAGCCCATGGTTCTGGGCGAGGCGCCCATTTATCGTGCTAGCGATTCAACCCTCCACTGGGTGGACTGTTTGTCTGAACCTCCCCGACTCTACATACTCCCGATCAACGACGCCGGGGACGCAATCGGGGAAGCCCGTGTGCTTGAGCTGGAAGACAGCGTCACTGTAGCTTTCTTCCGGAAGAATAAGCCTGGCTATATTGCGGCCTATTACCAAGGAGTCTGCTTTATCGACGAAGAATCCGGCAAGCTGGACGTGGTGAAGGAAATAATCCCCACCGACCAACGCGATGAGTTGCGCTTCAATGATGGGGGGATCGATGCCAAAGGACGGTTTTGGCTGGCGGAAATCGATAAGAAGGCAATGGCCTACGGACCAAACAGTCTTCCGGCCAGCTACGGCACTCCGCGAGGTCGGCTATGGCGATATGATCCAGATGGCAGTCTTCATTTGATGATCGATCAAGGAATTGTCTGCGGGAATGGGTTGGGCTGGAGTCCGGACAATAAAACCAGTGAGATTTCCCCCTGCCTGCCCCTTTGGGCGAATAGCGCTCACTACGTCATCCAGTGTATTTCCACGATTCTGTGGCCATGGTAGTATGGGCTTATGATTTCGATCTGGAGTCCGGTGGCATCTCCAACAGGCGACTGTTGATTGATCGCCGCACATCGTTTGGCGAGCCAGATGGAATGGTTGTCGAGTACGTAATTGCCCTTGCCGTTGGATCCAGAGCCATGCTAACAATAATTAAAGCACCGATGGAAATTTGTGGATTGCTATGTTTGACTCTAACCGGGTCATGGTATTTAACCCGGAGGGCCGACACCTCAAAGACATCATTTTCTCGGCTCGTAACCCAGCGTGCACTACTTGGGGCGGCAAGAACTTTGATATTATATATGTGGCAAGTGGGAAGGATCGTCGCCCTAATGCGAGGGCAGACGACGAAGGAGGCCATATGTTCCGATATAAGCCCACTGATGCCCGAGGGCAGCCGAAGCATGAATTCGCCGGATAATTTGCTTCGCAGTAGAAAAATAAACATTGAAAGCATTTATACCTGGGTTTATTTATTCATTTAAACTTAGAGTATACGAGTGAGGGTTTCCGACTTGTAATTATCCTTCTCGTTAGCGCCCCTGATCTTTTTGGAGGTGGGTGAAGCTGGACCGCAAGATATACGAAGTTATTTGAAGAGAATGAGTCCTAGGCGCAAACAACGATGTTTCGTCTTCAAAATATCCATCCTCCCCTGCTATAAGGTGTGTTTTGCTATAAACTAATCGAAATTGGGCATGTAACTACTCAGTATCCGGATTCACTTCTTTTATCCCCTCCTCGGCAGACTCCCCCTTCTCCAGTGACAATGTGTCCTCAACCCGTTTGTATATCAATACCAACACCAAACCCAGGGAGCCAGAGAGTAGTCCCCAGTAGCTGCCAAACATTGCCTGATAGCTTGTTTCTCTGACGTCCAGGTTAAAGACGATAGCAGCGCCCATGGCGCCGAAAACTTTGTAGAATGCTGAGTAGATGGACAACACCAGGGGGTCATTCGATAGAGCCCCCATGATCCACCATGCAAATGTCTGCCAAGCACCATCTACTGCACCGTAGAAGGTGTACAGGGCAATATAGCCCGCGGCTTGGGAATCTTCCACATCCAGGAGATGCGAGAGAGGGTGGCCACGCTGGGAGCGGCGGGCTGGGAAGACGCCTCCGATAAAGACTGCGTTGATCAAGAGAAAAAGAAAGATCCAGCCAATGAAAGCACGTCGACGTCGACCACCGAGTCGCTTGAAATCCAACAACAGTCCGGAAATGACTGCCATCGCAAACTGGCCAAAATCAAACCACAGACTGCCGAAGGCACGAGTCCGTAGGTCGAAGAAATAGCCATTGAAGTCATTGCTCTGGTAGGGAATGTACCACAATCCAGCGAAACTGTAAGGAAAGAATAGGATGATCCACGGCTCTCGCCTAACAGCCAGAGCCACATTCTTCAGCTCCTGCACAAACGTCGTCTGATGTGGCACGACCACGCGTGAGCCATCTGAACGGATCACCTTGGCCGGATTGGAGACGCCGCAGGCGACAACGCTGCCCATAATCATCAAGATAAACAGCGCAATATACGTACTATCGTTGACACTTCCAGCCGTCGTTACTCCCCAGTTTTCCACCGTGGGAATGATAGCCCCGATGACTGTACCGAAAAAAGATAGGCCATAGAAGATGCCCACGTATTTGCCCTTATCTTTCTCGAGAGGAAGCGACATGATCATGGATCCTTCGGCGGTCCTGGATGAAGGCGCGCAGAGTTGGAGTCAGAGGACCCCACTGTGTCTGTTGAAAACGAGGAGCGTACTTACCAAAGGAACGCAGCAGCAATCCCGCACATTGCTCCTCCAAAGTACACAAATGCCTCATTTCCGTTGTGGTTGTAACTCCAGTATGAGGCCGACAGCAACGAAAATCCAATGCCCCCTGTCGCAAGGGTGACTTTGGGGCCCAGGAAGTTGCACACTGAGCCCGAAACAAGGGAAAAGGCACAGAATAGACTGTAAAGAATTGTATTGGCATTGTTGCTGGTCGTGGGATTGACTTGGCCACCGCCTCCAAGGGCAGAGAGAACGTTAAACATGCCAACCACGAGAAGATGCACACACGCAATGATCAAGCACTGCGCAATGGGGGACCGATATGCAGGGAGCGTCACAAGTCCCGCAATACGGTATCCCCTTGGTGGAGGATGGAACTCCTCCATGTCAGCGATCCCGGTGTCAGGGGAGGCCGTGGTGCCATTCACATTGGTTGGATTAGTGTTCTTCTCCAGGTCGCCCATTGTGCAAGATTGTAGGGGTAACAATAAAGAGAGAAATCACCCAAGTGATGCCAAAGGAGCAGACAGTTACTCCATGGTGATCGGGGGCTCTTATCTACCTTCTGCCAGTGGCAACTCCGGGATGGGAATGTCGCATGCACCTCCAGCTTTCCCCAGATAAGTGGAGAAGACTGGCCGATTATCAGGCGTTGCGCGGGATGGTTTATCTGATTTGCGTGGGATGCGTGGGCACGTCGCCCGTCCCACCGACGACTCGCCGTTGATCCATTTTAAATATCGGACATCAAGGCTGCCTCCCTCAGCAGCCACAGAAACAATCTAGCCATGGATGTCCGCCAGCTCTCTTTCACGTTCAAAGATGAGGGGTCCTTGGATGACAGTCTGCGTCCCCTCAAGATCGCCTTCCTCGGAACTCGACATCCCCATGTCATGTATCGGTTCACCGTCCTGGAGCAAATGGGTGGATTCGAATTCTCTGGATTTTATGAGGAGGATGCGGGGATCGCCGCAGAACTGGCTAAACGGCTCCCCCGTCTGACCCGCTTCGATACCCCAGAAGCGCTACTTGACACCAATCCCGACGTGGTGATGATACATGCCCTGGACCCTGATGTTCCTCGCTGGGCTCGCTTTGCCATCAATCATCCTGCCGAATTCAAGGGCCTCTTCTTGGAGAAGCCTGGGGCGGCGCTTCCGGAAGATTTCTATCAGCTGGCCGAGGAGATTGAAAGGAAACGTCCCGGTCTGGCCGTTGAGCTCGGATATGAGCTCCATTATTCTGAATCCCTCGCCTTTGCACGCAAGGTGATTCATGACGGCGTGTTGGGCGATATCACCACAGCCCGATTCCATGGGGGGTGCCCGTCGGGCGCTGGGATGGACCTGTGGCAAGCTATTCCTGAGGACCTGGGGGGTATCATGCAAACAGAGGGCTGTCACACACTCGAGAATGTGCTGGACCTGTTTGGTGCACCCGACCGTGTCGTTTCCTCGATTCGAAAACTACCGCAGCGACCCCCTCACCCGGTAGTGGGCTGGATCCCGGACCTCTTCACTGGAACGGTACACAAGGGCGAGTTTGGCGTGGGAACATTGCTTTATGAAGATGTCTGTTCGGGCATCATGGAGTACTCAGACAAGACAATTGTGCTAGACATGACAGCCTGGGAGCCCACGCAATGGTGCAATGAATGGGCTATCGATATCTACGGCACCAACGGTTCACTCCATGTGATCCCGGACTATCCTGTGGCGACGCTGTACCTGCGCGAATCACGGGGAGACTTTGCCGCAGGACCGAGTAAATTATCAACAGAAAAGCCTCATGGAACATCAAACATTCCAAGCTGCTATCGCAAGCAGCTTGAGTCTTTGTTTGCTCGGGTCCGCGATAACAAGGTGCCTGGGCTTGGCTGCTGCGATCTTCAGACCAATGTGAAGATTCTCAAGGTGATTGATGCTTTTTACAAGTCTGCTACATCGAGACAGTGGAAGGATGTGTAGCAAACACTGCAGGAAGGAAAAGGACTTGTTGCCCACTGCTCCAGAACACAGGTTTCCAGACCTAGAGTATTCCAATTTGCTCACAGGACTTACGTCTATGTGCGGTGTAACTCAGTCCAAACACGTAATTGAATGGATACCCGGTAGATGTATATAGATTCAGTAGTCCCCAAGAGGGCAACCGTCAAACATCATATTGAGTGTTCAACTGCCTCCCATCGGACTCCGTCCCTGGTACGCTTGGTTCTGATGGATGGCGTATTTTTGATAAGCCAAGACTTTCGATTTGGGCCCTAGATACTGGATGCGTGCCAGATCCTGTTGACTACAGAACACTAGCGTAGCGATCGGCATGGAGTTGATATCCATATGTCGGGAGAATGAGAGCACCCCGGCCCCTGCGCGTGATGGATGGCTGAGAATGAGTAAACAGAGGCCTCTATTCCGATTGGTTTCAATCAGACACTCGTCCAATCATTGTTTCAGCCAGATACGATAACCACGAGAGGAGGAGACGCAGACCTCAACCACCTAGAAAATCATTGCACAATAATTTCCCCTTTATATGCCAATATTTTGCGCCAGAAATGAAGGACGGTAGCTATTGAGGGGGTATGATAGTAAATACAGGTTAAACATAGCCGCAGACTATGACATTTCAATTAATTTCCCCAAGGTATCGTACGCTTCATGCAGCAATTCCCACCGACAACCCTCTAAACACTCTCGAACGGTTTTTAGAAGTTCACGGGTCTGTTGTGACACATGTACGATGTTTTCAGAATCATGCCGAAGAAGCATGAGCATGCGAACCAAGTATTCTTCGGCACCACAGGAGCCTTGTCCGTCGGACACAGGAGCTCGTTTCCCAGCCATGAATCCATACGCCCACAGAATAAGGGCAGCGTGGTATAGAGACCAGGGACGAAGTGAAAGATTGTCGTGAGCAGCTCGGTACACCTTACCCGTAAAAAGGACCTCCTGGATAAGGAGGAGACAGTGGTAGATAGCTCTCTTTGACTCTGGCTTTTCACTCCAGGCACACACCCGAGAGGTTGCTCCTGTCAGATCAGCCTCAGAGAGAAGATTTCCCAGAAGAGACGGAGCCCCAGCCAGGATATGCATATCCGTAATTTCGGTATAAATGGCGACATATGCCATCCGATGAAGTGGTTTGGATGCTTCCAGTGCCAATGACGAGCTTCGTGAGACCAGGCAAAATGACCATGTGTCCATAGCCTTCTCTAGAGTCTCTTTCCAACTATCGACAGGGCCCAACCGGGGGGAACCACCAACTGGAATGCCACCCACACCCAGAGTGGCAGACTCCCTGGCTTTTAAATGGGCGGTAACGCTGAAAAGTCCATGAAGGAGAATCAGACGGGCATATGCATCGCAGTGCGGCGGGATTGGAGTGCGAGCCAGAAGCTTCTTCAACACAGGCAAGAAGCCTGGTGGTTCTGGAAGTCTTCTCATCATTCGTTCCCAGTCTTGAGCGTTATTACACTCCCACACGTAGTCGGGACACGGTAAAGGAAGGCGTACATCCTGGACTGAGAGGACGCAAGTATGACCAAACATAAAGCTATGCTGTGCATCCATGACAAAGCCGAAAAATGCCGTGCGGTTCGATGACTGAATGTCAATCCAATGTCGCCAAGACTGCTCCAGGTCTGAAGACCCTTGATGGTCTGAGGCGTATGAGACGCCTCGTTTCATAAGCTGCATAAAGCACATTATGAGCCCATTGAACCATCTGCATTGCTTGACAGAGCGAGAATGAAGAAATACGTACAGTTATTATAGCTCCGTGAAATATGTGTGCCAATTGATGATGCTTTCTAGTAGAAAACATTTTCTCTTGTGCTTGGATGAGCAGGAGCGTTTGAACGCACCATAGTGCAGCAGGCGGCTCAAAATCCGGGGTCTTACGGCAAATTAGCTGTGATGTACAAGGTGCCAAGCCAACACACACAGAGCGGGGGTTCTTACATTGAAGATAATATACCGCAAGGAGTCATGAATCTTGACTGCTCCTTCAAAGTGAGCAGGTTCACTCGACAAAGTAGATCCCAGTGTCACAATGGCAGTCATGAGAAGAGGTGGAGCCGTAGTAGGATCAAGAGTCGATTTGTGTAGGATAGGAAAATGGGGATGGTAGTTCTCGAAGTACAGATCATAGAAGTGGGAGAGATTGGATGGAGAGAAAAAAGACGAGGTGATGAGTTCATGAGGAAGGGTACTAAGGGCATCAAATAATCGATCCTGGACAATTACCCAGGGCGCAAAAGAATATGGCGAGGCCGGGGCTGGCAGGCGAATATTTTGCGACTGCATGGGGAAGGAAGGGGGCGACATCTCCGTGGTTGAAGCACTATGGCCCGGCGAGATAATATCGGTCAACCCGCCATCAGCAGGAGCACTGAAGTCCGTTGGAACATTGTCGAAAAGCCATTCGAAGTCCAGCAATGGATCCGAGCCAGTAAAAGAGGGGTCCATAAATAGAGAAGTCACCGTTCCATCGGGAACGACGGTGTCCATCATGTTGGGAGGATCCCCCGGTGGGCTGTTCATTGTGGAGGCTGTCGGTATTCCAGAAAACTGCTCCGGTTCAGCAGTTGAGTGTGATGCTGGTTCAATGCTGCGGCGTTGAGTATCTGGATCCGAGGTTTGCCGTGAAGGCGCTGAAGAGACGATGCCGCCAGAATTCCGAAACCACATGCCTCTCTCGTGGCGCTTTTCATGTCGGCGCAGTAAATCCTTCCGGACAAATCTTTTAGGGCACGAAGAACATTGATATATTTGCTTGGGGGAGTCTGCGGACTGGTCAATCTCGTTCTGTCCGGATGTCACAAGCCCTCCAATGAGCACGTACGGTTCAGCCGATGTCTCGACAGATGTTCTGGTCGCTGGAAGCATTTTCCACAGCCGGGCTCGGGACATGCATAGTCACTGGGCATCGGGTCGTTTGGTTGGTTCTGTTCCGTTTTGAAGAAACGCGGGAGGGAAAAGAAGACGATGTGCGGAGATTGTCCGCGGCTTATCCTATTGCGATAAGCGGCCGATAAGAGTTCGTTATCCACGGCGCACGAGGAGTTATTATGGGTTCGATGCTTTTTTGACTTGGGCAGGCCGTATAACGATACTTCCACCAACACCTATGCTGATATTTTGAAGTTTACCCTCATGTATCTCAAGAAGCCACATGTGAGATTGCTTCCAGACATATAGTGTACGCTTGACCTTGGATGAGGTAACTTTCAAAGGCAATAGGTGGTGCAGGACGTTAGAATGGAAACGAGGTAAGTAATCCGAGGTCTATACTTGGCGTGAATTGTCCCTTCTGATGGGGTTTAATAGAACTGAGAGATGGGTAGGGTCTTCTGTATGAAGTGATTCCGTGCAAAACAGCTGTTGTAAGGGTTCCCAGTTGATCACCCAATGAAAATCAAACTGCTATTTTGCGCCATCTCACTGAATGATCGCAGGGGTCAAATTTAACCACCTTTAGGTACATTACTTCATCACTTCACCCCAAGGATGAATACCTCTGAAAATATTTCCAATGCGCCATTTCACCTCAAAAGCTGTGGTAAAGTTTGACCTTTTTTAAGACGTATCTTTGCCGCATTTCACCACCAAATGCCAATCAAAGTGATTGAATTGAGTCGTCAAGTTACTCCGGAACGTCATTCCACCACCCCAGGATTGGTCAGATCCGTTCAATTTGATCAGCCTTCAAGCATGTGGAAAGATGTTGATTATGAAACACCTTTAGAAGCAACGATGATAAAGTGAACGCACTACTTTCTAATTATCATGAATAGTAAATTGCGTCAAACACTATTTATAAGTCACTCAGGAGATAGGACTGGGCTTTTGTGATGTAGCTAGGTATGAATGGTGAGTCTGTATTCCAAACACATATTCCACGAGCCATTTGAAGAAGCTTGAATATGTTCCATACTTGGGACCGTGTAGGTCCTGACAAAACGTAATTTGACCTTCTGGATTGAATGTAATCATATCGAGCTATAGATTTTTTTTTGTCAGTTTAAATTTCGTTGTCCTAGTGCAGAAGCCACCTACGCTGTCGGCCGATCCAAACGGGGTGTTTTTCCTGCTGTAAACCCAGGTTTGCCCGCCCTTAGACCCGTCGTCGAACAATTCTGCAACCACACGCTTCACCTCAATACTTGCATGCCCTTTGGCAAGCTTCAACCTGTCTCCTAGCTTGGTCAAAAAGGCATCGCGACCTCCCTCAGAGGGAGGGAGCTCGGCATGCTGTACTGCGAACTCCCTGGCGAGAAGGTTGACGATTTTTGCTGAGGTCGTGTCATGTTCGTTGCCGATCAGATTCACAAAGTCGAGACTCTTTTGCTTGAGGATTGCGATATCAAGAGTGGCAGCCATGGCGAACGGTCAAAAGACTTTTTCAGCAAGGAGTTAGAAATCCTGTAGGAATGTTCAACCTAAAACCATCAGAAAAGCTTTCTTAGTCATTTGCAACGCAGATGGATGTAAAGGGCCGTGGTAGCGCGACAAATATGGAAAATTTCTTAAACTCACTGTACCGACGTTGACAGTTATTTACTAGAATTGCAGTAACCCGCTCTTCGGTAAATAGCTTTCCAATGTCTTGGGGGAAGTAAAAAGATTTTCCGTTGTTTAAATACCAGCGGACAGGTGCAATAACCTACCTGACGACTAGCGTAGCCTAATCTGCGTTCAGGATTTATGAACCGCTTTAAATCTGGCGATTCAACCTAAATTGCCAATGCGCTCCTGGAGAGTCTACAGACCAGACCAGCACGCCTTGGAGAATCTAGGTCACTGATAGCCACTTCGACAAAGAGGCTCAGGGTCTCACATAGTAATTCCGCTTGAAATAGCCTAACCTATCTTTGTTGAGCACCTTTTACTTGATTATTGCACGGGAGCGGCTAACGATTCCAACTTACGACTTTATCGCTTCACGCGGCGCTCGGATATTGTGTTAACTTACTAGTAGCGTTTTGATTGGTCAGAAAGATATAAGCCATGGGTAAGCCACGGGCGGAAGTCGGCCGAATATGGAATCCCGGCGGTCGCGGTCTTGGAGTAACTGTGGCACCCGTGTAATAATGCCGAAGGCGGTGTTGGCATATTGTAGGAGCGGGTGATCTAGGCTCCGACAAATATTATAACCTCCTAATCTTCCGCCCACCTATTGTGGGCCATAATTTTGACGAACTATTAGGAGAGAAAATGCATCTCTTCATTCTAGGAGCGACGGGGCGAACGGGTGTCTATGGGTATAAGTATGCACTAGAACGAGGTAGATTTATTTCCATAAAATTGGCAGATACAGTTGCTAATGTCGCTCTAGGTTTCTCAGTCACCATTCTTGCCCGCAATACCCAAGGAATAGAGCCACATGCTAGACTCACCATCGTCGAGGGCTCTTGTCTGTCCAACGAGGATATGCAACGTGCTTTCAAAGCTGCTGGTGTCACCGTTGATGCGGTTCTCGTATTTCTCAGTGCCCAGCGTGTTGGTCAAAACCCCTGGGGAAAATTCATTGGGCCACCCCGCCTGATTGCAGACTCAACCAGCAATGCTGCTCGAGCTCTGCGCGCACAGAAGCAGCAGCTAGATGGACGCAAGCCACGCTTGGTTGTGATGAACGCCCTTGGCGCTGGCGAAAGCTACTCCGTCACCCCTTACCTTATTCGTTTCATGATAAACTATAGCAACGTGTCCAAATCCTATGTGGATCATAATGCGGTTTACAATGAGATCGAGGCAAACTGTGGAGATGAAGTGCTATGGACACTTCCATTACCGGTGGGGCTCAAAGAAAGTGGTCAGAAACTCGTGAAAACCTTCGACAGCACTGAGCCAGGAGCTGGTTTATTCATCACTCGTGAAAGCTGTGCGAGATGGATGGTAGATGTGGCGTCAGGGAAGGAAGGAGATAAATTCGACAACAAAAAGGTCATTGTATCAAATTAAGGTGTATTCGAATTTCACTCCCGCTGCTAATTCGTTAGAATCGATTAAGAACTCTTAATCTCTCAGCATGCCCTTTATCTATGCATAGAGAGTATAAGACAGCCTATAGACTCCTGATCTATATATTTCGTTACTACTTTTGTATGGTGCCACGGTTTTCGTCAACCCTGACTATGTATACTTCTCGCTCTTCTTGAAGCCTTTCAAGAATCACTAAGGCAGCCAGCAATGAAACACATCAGAGGTGAACGCCATTCCAATCGGTGGTTCGACCATCAACGACATTTTTGTATGGATCGGGGCTCTCTTATCTGACTTCCTACGAACATGCTGGACACTCGGCGTGCTTCAGGCGGTCATCGGAATCATTCCATGGATCATGATGAGCGCCTGGACATCGCACTCCGATTCAGTGGGCCTTTCAGCTGCCTACGCATCTTACTTGATCTCGTTTACCAACCTCGGTACAGCACCCACTCATTTTCGCCGGAGTGCCCGATATTTTTCCGCAAGTCCTCAAAGCCCGCTCACTCGTCGTCGATGTCTTAGTAGCTGGATACTGCGTCATCTCCGCGTGAGGATTGTTGTGATGGCCAGGAAGTGGGTCGAAAGGAAAGTCTGTTTGGTGCGCCACAGGAACAAGTTAGATGTGCAGGGCCATCTGATCCCGATCACAAGACGTTTCAGTCGCCCAGTGGTCGAGATGTGGAGCACTGAGCGGAGAATATATGAAGCTTTAAATTTAAGAATGAAAGGTTTGGTAATAAAAGAGATGATTGGCAAGTCCCCGAGATCTATTTTAGGAATATGTGAAGTTTAGGAGCAAGAATAGTCTATTCATTATTCTAACGAGGCATACCCAGCCACTAGATCTAGGGTATTAGATAGGCTCATCACGAGGCTCGACCAGAATCTCATTCACAGAGACATAGTCTGGTTGGCAAAGAGCATGAACAATCGAGTTCGCCACATCAGAAGGCTCAAGGATCTTGGCACCCGAGGGCTCGCCAAACTTTTTGACGGCCTCCGTATCCGTCGACATATTCAACAACGGAGTCGCCGTATTACCGGGCTGAATGGCAGTCACGCGCAAGCCGGCACCGGCGGTTTCGAGACGCAATGCCTGAAGCGTCGCCTCGACGAAGAACTTACTGGCTGAGTAGACACCGAGCCCAGGGAAGACTTTGCGTCCGGCGTCGGAGGAGATGGCCACTACGTGGCCGCGTCCACGTTCAAGCATGCCTGGCACGGTGGTCCCGAGGGCATTAAGGAGACCCTTACAGTTGACGTCGATGGTGCGTTCCCACTCGTCGAAGTTGGTGTTCTTCATCATTTCGAAGTACATCACACCCGCGCATGACACAAGGATATCTACCGGACCGAGCTCTTCGCTGGCTGCCCTGACGAGTTCTTCTGTCTGTGTCTTGCTAGTGACATCGGTGGATCGGACGACGCACTTGACACCATGGACATCGACCTGGCGCTTAACAGATTTCAAAGCATCTAGGCGACGAGCACCAAGGGCAACGGCACAACCTGCCTTTGCCAGTGCAGCAGCGACGGCTGCACCAATGCCCGAAGAGGCACCAGTCACGACGGCGACCTTTCCACTGAGGGGCCCTCGGACGGTGGGTTTAGGAGCCAGAGCTTGTTGGCGTGTAGGTGCTCGGTGAAGCCATCCTCGAGCAAACCAGTGTCGAGCGTATGTCTCGAGCAGCAGGGCGTCAACCTTGGGGCGCTCAACCGCCGATCGGAAAGGTCTAGTCAGGGAGTTGTCAAGAATAACAATTCCCCGCAAGAACTCCACAGTTGGCATGCCACTGCGAAGAATGTCGACGGTGAACGAACCATCTCCACCCTTGGCCAAACCACGCCTCTCAGTCCACAGAGCCACCCACTCCTCCCACGGGAGGGGCTTGGTAGGATATCCAAGAGTGTTTAGGTCTTCAAAGACAGACCGAATACTAACCGGATCCGGATCCCCCAGGTGGAATATTGTTTGGTCTCTCTGGGTCTGCGTGGCGAGGTGAACGATACTCTTGCTCACAAAGTCGACGGGAGTCATCTCTGCCCTCCAGCCTTCGACATCTGGCGCATAGCCAAGTCTGATTGACTCGACGATCAACGCGGTCAACAAATCCCATGCGTTGGCTGAGCCGGTGAGACTGTGACCACTAATGGTGCCGCAACGGTGGATCTTCACTGGCAAGCCGCGCTCACCAGCCTTGAGGACGAGCTGCTCAGCAACCCACTTGGTTTGACCGTAGCCATCCAGTAGCTTTGTTGGGACGTCCTCGACATCAAGGGTGGTGCTCTCGGACCAACCCTTCTCTCCAGAAGGAGGCAAGACACCGTTCGTGGAAACGTATTGAACGGTCGCACCGCCCCTAGATGCAAGGCGAAGAACCTCTCGAGTTCCGCCGACGTTGGCAGCGCGCAACGCCGCGTAGGGGTATACAAGGTTGACGGTGGCTGCTGCATGGACGATGACTTGGACTCGACCGGCAAGATCATCGTATGCTTCAGGCGCCAAACCAAAGTGAGGTCTTGACAGATTGCCGGGAAGGACCTCAACACGCTCCATGACTGAGTCACGCCAGAGGCCGAGATCGAGAAGGTTGCGGCGAATACGAGCGACACCTCCAGCCTGGTCATCATCCTCGGGGTCTTTGAACCGGACCATGCAGATGATCTTCGCCGAGGTATTTTCCAGCAAGTCATTGAGCAAGAAAGCACCTAGGAAACCCGTCACACCGGTCAACAACACGGTATCAGCCGTGGCGATAGACTTGAGTGTGGCACCTGAAGCAGGCTTGATCTCGTCATCAAGAGTGGCATCGGCGAGCAAAACGGCGGGAAGATCCGCTTGCACCGCGGCAGTGTGGCCATCTCGGATGGCACGCACAGTGTCCAGCTGGCCGGAGAGCGTCACATTGTCTGCGAGTCGTGGAATTGAAACACGGAAACCGAACTGACGAGACAATCGGCCAGCGAGATCTGCCAGCGACAAAGAGTGTCCGCCAAGGTCGAAGAAATTATCCTCAGGCTTCAAGTTAGACTTCGTAGTCTTCAGGACATTAGCCCAAATGGCCGCAATATCGTCAATACTAATTGGGTCCTTCTTCGCCACACGCTCAGCGCTGTTGGGGCTAGGGGTACGCGGCGGAGTAAGACTTTTGAGATCGACCTTGCCAGAGACCTCGTGGGTGGGCAAATCCGTCATCACAACCCACAGAGATGGAATCATGTAATGGGCGAGATGGGGCTCGAGAATGCGACGGGAGGACGGGCTGTGCCCGGACTCGTCGACCTCAACTACAGGGCGAGAGTCAGAGGCATCCTTCTCGGCGGCCACGACGTAAGCGCACAATTGACAATCGAGGCCGTCGCCATGAGCAGTGACGGCACATTGGCTGACAGCTAAGTGCTGGCAGATTTCACTTTCCACCTTGGCAGGGACAACTGAGTATCCACGGATCTTGATCATTGCACCGACTCGGCCAGTAATTTCGAGATGCCCGGTCGGCAGCTTGCGTGCCAAATCCCCGGTTCTGTATATAAGACCACCGGGCTTGGTATCAAACCTGTTCGGAATAAAGGCCTTGGCAGTCGTTTCTGGGAGATTGAGGTATCCCCGAGCCAGTAAGTCTCCCCCGACAAACAGCTCACCCGCAGTACCCGCTTCCACTTCCTCTTCATTCTCGTCGAGAATGTACGTCGGAACGAGAGGTGGACCAACGGCACAGTAATGAGAATCCGTGTCGATCAGGTCACGGATATCGCCGCATGCGATCTCGTGAGTCTCGCATGCACTGTAGCAGTTGAGGAAGCGGGTATTGGGCAAAGTTCCTATTCCTCGACGGGCGAGATCGGTGGTCACAACTTCGCCATTGAGCCAAAGGGTTCGTAGATCAGGCAGACGGGCAGCAATTCGTGGATAGCGTGAGAGAACAGTGGCCAGTAAAGTAGGTGTCATGAGAGTTTCGGTAACCTTCTTGGCTTCGAGCAGGTCGACCAGCGCCGCGGGATCATAGCTTACTTCATCGGGAACGCAAATGACCGTGGCACCTCTCAACAGCGGACGCAGCATCTCCCAAATAAAAAATACATTGCAGGCTACCCGGTCTCCGGGCTGCAAATTTTGTACCGCAAATCGTAGGTCATATGAAAGTACGGGGGCTCTGTGGGGGTTGGCAATGCCCTTGGGCTTGCCGGTTGTGCCGGAGGAGTAGGAGACAAATGCCAGGCGATCTAAGTCATCCTCCGCGGGCAACGGGGGCAGTTCTGTAATATTCTGATCCTCTTCGGGGGTCGATTCGTCCAGGGCAATGGTGGGGTACTCGGCTTTCACCTTGTTGGCCTCAGTAACGTTGGTGATTACGACGGCGGGCTTTGCATCATCCATGACATCAGCGAGCAATCCCGGTGGATATGCAAGCTCCAAGACCAAGAATGCACCTCCTGCTCGAAGAGCCGCCAGGCACGCAATCACGTAGTGCGCGCTACGAGGCAGGAGCACTCCAACCAGCGTGTCTCGGCCAACTCCGCGGAGGCGCAGGCGAGCGGCAAGAGCTTGGACTTCCTTGTCGAGCTCCGCATAGGTGTATGTATCTTTCTCATCCTCCAGGGCAACGGCGTTGGGAGTTGCCAGAACCTGCTTCCTGAACAGCGATGGCAGGTCCAGTCCGGTATCGATTATTGGCATGTTGTCGAGCTCTCTGAACGAGAGAAGGTAACGTCAGACTCGGGAGCTGAATAGCTAGATGAACGGGCCTAGAGCTGTGCGGGTTCGACACGTACAGCTGCAATGGAAGATTTGAACGTGAAATTCTGAGTGATGCTATAACAGCAAGAGATGACGCGATGGGAGAAATGGTAAACAGGAAAATGGTCACCTGCCATATTCCTTGATTCCCATCCCACCATTTTGTTGAGAGCCATATGAGATCAAGCTCTGATGGAGACTAAACATTGAACTAAACTCGACGCGGTCCAGTAAGAGAAACCTTTGGAACCTCATGGAGTCCATCTCTCTTATCAGGGCCAATCGATCCCGCATCCGCCAAGAAGCCACGCATCGATTGCTTCCCCCGGCCCAATCCCTGCTATCCATAGTTCCTGAGTGACGGACACTTCTCTTAGTAAGTGTATGTAGTCATAACTATGACGATACCCCAGGAAATCATCCCTAAACACAGGTTAAAAGTCACTGGGCAAGAGAAGTACAAGCTTGATCTTTCTCCGGTTGTGGATCCGCCCCACTGTCAGTCCATTTGCATGTGAAAATCCACTTTCCCCAACGCTTTCCGTGCTGTTCCTGTTTATTAAATTTATCTATTCTTCCGGCCTTCTAGGTATTTTCTACGTCGCCGATATAGGACAGTGCACGTTGGAGAACCTAAAATCCACGGTGCAGCTCTGCTTAGCTGGCTTTTCTGGCGCCCAGCGCGCTTTATCCTGCGAACGTTCTAGGCTTGTCTCTTTGAGCGATTTCTTCAGATTTCTTCCCTTTCTCCGTTTCCGTGAATTTAGCACCGTACTATGATTCAGAATGCAGGTCAGGTCATCCTGTGTGAACTCTCACCTCACCCCTAGTAGGCCGCCAACATCACATGCTAGAGAGGTCATCTTGTCGATGAAAAGGTTACCAAAGGTGTCACCGCCTATAGCTACTTAGTAGCCTAGAGCTACGGGGGATACGGCTGATGGAAGCCACAGTATTGAGTTTCTGTCGCGCAAACTTGCACAGCTTGCCATCATTCGTGGTTAATTCCGCGCCCAACGACCAGAGTAGGAAGGCCTGTTTTGTGAAGACATTGGCAGTCTCCGGTTTTTCATTCAGGACCTCGATAGTGTCCATAGCATATCGTCGGATGAGGCGCTCGTCAACTTGCGTCAGTTTGGACACGACATTTGGTCAGTACCTCCATCTGCAAGGGCGGGGATAGACCCTCACAGACGATATAGCATGGCGACTCTATTATTGCGGAAGGCCTCGGCGGTAGGGCCCAATAGCCCCTGTCAGACTAGTAAATCGCCCATTGGAGGAGTAGTCGTTGTTCTAAGGCGATCTCTACCTGCAGGTCGCGCTTGGATGTATCGCAGCCTCGGCGGATATAGCGGCCGACTCAGGCAAGAAAGTCAAATAGGTCAGCATAATACCCTGTGACTGGATGATATCTTTGTCTTTTTTTCGGTAAAACATGAGCGGACAAGCTAGTCCTTATTCTTTGTTTGTTTTTTCTGACCCGAGGGTACCGCTAGCAAAGAACAGTACATATACCACGAGACTAGCGCCCTACCACGGAATGGGTCAGTGGAATTTTTTGTTTAGTGAAAACCTACAGTATCAGAGTTATTATAGTCTTGCAAGCAAAAAGCTGCTCCTCGCCGAAATCAGCACTGTTAAATTCCACATACAGAGCCGAGAGACCTAACATGTATGCTGTCAAGGAGTGATGAAGTGGTTTTTTCCGCTGTTACAGCTCCTCTCGGATCCACGCGATCGATTTTCCTCACATGTCTACATACCTTACCATCAATAAGTGACGGCCCCTCGAGTAGCTGGTGGCCACGGGGCTCGTAACAATTTATCTCCCGAGCTGTACATTTCAGGGTCTTACTAGAGATGAATGTTTAATATACCTGACCCGATCTTTTTTGGATGGAAACAAGTAATCGCCAATTCTAGATGACTATCAAATTCCTCGACCGCCGTCAACTTCCAAGGTGGTTCCTGTCACAAACGGACTTTCATCTGAACCCAAATACCAAGCTGCGTTCGCAATGTCCGTCGGCTGTGTGACTCGTTTCATAGGTAGAGAATCTTCCACCATGCGAAGTTTGGCGGCGGACGTTTCATCCTCACCGATTGTAGCCCTCAGCCTATAAAAGGTTTAGCCTCAGTCGCAAAATGTGAAATTTACTTACATGGCGGTGTTCCCAACGGGAGGGGCGATGCAGTTGAATCGAATTGTGGGTGCGTACTCCAAGGCCATTGTCTTGGTAAATAACTACGATGTAAAATGAGTATCATTTCGTTGATTTTTAGGGTCTTCACCTACAGTGACGGCGGCTTTGGAGGCATTGTAAATAGCGAATCCAGGACGAGGTCGAATGCACCCAGTGCTGAAGGGACTTGGTCAGTGATGCCCGCTAACATGAGAGCTGATGAATCACCTTGTCATGTTGATGAAAGCGCCAGATCCCTGTTCCAGCATGAACAGAGCAAACACTTGGGCACTCAAAAAGATAGGCTACATTTTTCTTATGTTACCTCTTCCACTCAGCATTTTCAAAAGTCACACAATACCTTAACATTAATGCTGAATATTCTGTCGTACTCTTCAATTGACTTCTCATGCAAAGGCTGTCTCGCGTGTTGGCATGGCATAGGCAAAATGTAGGACTTGGGGTAAGATCATACGAATGGTGGTTCTGTGATTCCTAGTTATTAATGAGCAACCTGACTGATAGGCGATATCCCCGGTATTAGTACCTGCGTTATTAACAACCACATCTACCCGACCGTAGTCATTTTGCGCCCAATCAAGGGCCTCCTTCCAGGTCTCTCTGTTCGTCACATCCCAAAGAAGAAACTGCAGTTTTGGTTTGGCTTTTGCCTTTGCCTCCCCTTTGTCTTTACTGAGATCCATCAGGATCACGTTCCAGCCTTCCTTGCTGAACCTGTCCACAATACCGGACCCGAAGCCATCTGCGCCACCTTCTTCCCTATTAGTTGACGGTGTCAACCTAGGCAGAGACAAAGAACCTGTTACGATAGCAACACGAAGAGCTTTTTGTTCCATAATAACCGAACCTTTGGCGTACAGTCTTCTGTGTGATCAGAGTATAGGGTGGACTTGATCGTACTATATAAAGTGAACATCTGTAACGCAGCAGCGGGCTTACTGGTTGAACCGGACCGCCGGCATCCTGGTTTAACGGCCGGCAGGTGGACCAGATTGCCCTGCTCCGGCGCATCGGCCTGTACCTCTCCGGGGTTCAAATTTAGTACCCATGGATTTTCAGCTCGCATTACCCAACGTTCCAGCATGCCGGGAGGACGTGGACCAGATCTATATTAAAAACCGGGGGTCGATCCTTCTATCCGATCCTCGCCTTCTGCACCTGCATTGCTTCTTTTCAAGACAAAGTGTCCGATCCTGCATAATATGCCCCTCTTTCCCCTCAAGGGCCAGGCTCTGTCCACATCCATCACCTGTACTGCGGGCACTGGATTCCTTCTCTTCGGCTACGACCAGGGCGTGTTCAGCGGTCTTCTGTCCCTACCTTCTTTTTCCGACACGTTTCAAAACCCGAGCCCCACGGTCAAAGGCCACATTGTGGCCAGCTAGGACCTGGGCTGTCTTATAGGCGCCCTGTCAATGATATTCGTAGGAGATAAACTCGGGCGCAAACGATCGATTAGGCTAGGATGTTTGATTGTCATCGTGGGCGCTATACTCCAAACATCGTCTTTTTCTCTGGTTCAGATGATTATCGCTCGGATCATAACCGGTGTCGGCACCGTGGCTAATACGACCGCAATTCCTCTCTGGCAAAGTGAGCTAGCCAAGGCTTTGCACCGCGGAAGGCTGATCGGCTTTTCGCTTGTGATCCTGGTCTTTGGCCTGATAATCGCCAATTTGGTAAATCTGTTGTTCTCCTATACCGATACAAATAAAAGCATCACATGGCGCTTTCCGTTGGCTTTCCAATGTGTTTTCACCCTGATGACTCTCGCTCTTCTATCATGCATCCCTGAGTCTCCCCGATGGCTTATGCTGCAAGATAGGTCAGATGAGGCCAGAACCGTCATCGCTCGATTACTCGCGTGGTCGGAAGACGATCCAGTTGTCCGAGAGGACCATGCCGAGATTGACCGAAGCATCCAGCAAGATCGCGAGATACAGAAGCCTCGAATGAGTGAGATTTTTCGAAACGGGTCCCCAGCAGACATTCCGTCGCATCGTTCTTGGAGCTAGCGCTTCATTCATGCAACAGGTCGGAGGTACGAACGTGATTGGATACTATTTTTCGGCTGTGCTGATAGAATCTTTTGGCTTCAGCAACCGAATGGCACTGGTCCTTGCCGTGGTTGATTTTATTAATTTCGCTCTATGGACTCTGCTGGGCTCGTTCATAATGGACCGGGTAGGCAGGAAAACACTCTTCCTTATTGGAGCCGTGGGCCGGGCCACTTGTTTCGGAATGGCCTCGTTAGGCCTCGCGATCGGGACGAAGACGATGAGTGCCTTTGTTGTCGCGTTTATTTTTGCTTTTTATATTTTCGAGGTATGTTGAGGACACTTGGTATCTTCGCTCACCGAGTCGAGCTAACCGTGCTAGGGGACCGCTTTCGCTCCCATCCCATTCATCTATCCTTCCGAGATCAACTCCCATAGAATGCGAAACACTGGTGCTGCAATTGCAGTGGGTGTCCAGTGGCTCTTCGTCTACGTGGTGGTTTTGGTGACCCCCGTCGGTGAATCAATATAAGGTGTATCGAACGCGCGATCTTTGCTAACAGGGATATCAAATCTCGCGTGGAAATTTTACCTTATTTTTGCGTGCTTCAATATTATTTTTGTACCATTCATCTGGTTCTTCTATATTGAGACAGCAGGACTTTCTCTTGAACAGGTCGACGAGCTTTTCAATTTAAGCCTCGCGGAAGGAACGCATATGTCGCCTAAGCAAGCCCGAAACATGATCTTGCAGGCAGGAGCGGAGTGTAGCGATACTGAAAAGAGCGACAGGGTATCGGCTATGGAGCATGCTAAAAATTACGAACGTTGATATTGGTACAGTATCAATGCATCAGTTATAGCTTCTTCTGCCTTGCTTTCCTTAGACGTGCTAGGTCCGTTACTACCTCTAATATACCAGCACACGCCAGAGACGACCGTGAAGACTGAAATAGGTAATGCCTGTAGATAGGCTAAGATCAATATATTGTAGGCATTGCGAGATATCGTCATTCTATTGGCCCCTTAATGACTTACAAGTCATTTTCTCTTCAGTTCGTGTTGATAAGCGCGGTTAGATTGATTCTTGTTGATCTTCGTCAGAGCCGCCGATCAGGCCTCCCCAAAAACTGAAAACGTCATTTCTCTTGCAATGGTGAAACTGATCGGACATTTCCATCAGGCTGTTTAGAATTTAAGGCCACCGGGAGCTCATAGCGAACTGCTGTCATATCTGTCGATGCCATTTCAAGGCCGCCCAGCACGTTTACGACCATTCGCGGTTTCACCTTTGGGGCCATGAAGCCTTTTGCATGCAAGATACTATTTTTGTATCAACAATCATTTATAACCATAGGCAGTCTATCTATCAACGAGAAGACTTCCTTGTTTTTATCAATCATTTTCTACCTCTATTGCACTAGTTTCGTTAACCCAGAAATGTTCTTCAGAACATCTTTCATATTCACTTTGCTAGTAGTCTTAACCCTGAGAGTTAGCCTTGCTAGGCCTCTTGATCAGGATGTTAGCCAAAACGTTGGCTCCTTGGCCGAGGATTTTGAGGGCCACATTATACAGGGATTAGTGTCTCATGGCCGCAAGGACAATGTCCATGATGATGATGGCAAGGGCCATAATGGCAAGGGTCATAGTGATAAGGGTCGCAAAGGCAGCAATGGAAATCATAATAGTTCGCACGATGATAAAGGGCATCATGGCAACCACAACCACAACGGCAATGAACATCGTGCGAACCATCACGGAAAGGGTCACAAAGGCCATGGCAATGGGAACCAGGGAAACCATCATAATGGTAACGGTCAGAATCACAAGGATGACCATCACAGCAAGAAAGATATTCTCTGCCATACTGAAGGGAAGAATGCAAAGACATGGCAAGAATTCGACATGGGATATATGGTTAACTATCTGTGGGTATTAATTCCACCATTCTACTGGGATTTGCTGACAGAAGAGCAAAAACAGTGCCGATTGGATCTCACCTGATTATAAGAAAGACTTTGGTCAGTTTGTAGCAGATCATGCTCATGGCGTTTACAGCTATGACTGCGAAATGTATGTTTATCTCCATCCATGCTTGCTTGGATTGGTAATTCCACAATGCTTCCTTGCTGACTGATTGATTATCAAGAGGCGAGGACTGTCATATTAGCTTGGATCAGAGAGAATGCCTTGGTGGCGACTACCTCAATCCAAAGTACTACTTTATCCTTTATGCCATCCGCAACTACCATGACTGGGTTGGCTTGGTACTTCAGGCAATTCAGGACGCCGAGACACACTTTGCAGAGCAAAGCACAAACCTTATGAAAACATTCTTGGATACTACACTGCCATCGGTATGAATATCATTTTCTGGATCTGGGCTGTAAGAACGACCTAACATAAGGAAATACAGTCCGATACCTGGATTGCCACGTTAATTGCCGGGCTACTTGGTACAATCAGCGGCATCATAGCTCCATTTGCGGCTGCTGCTGAGGGAGCTGCCGCCGTTGCTATTGCAGGTGCCAGCGGAGGAGCAGGAGCAGGATCTGGAATCACTTCCATGGGCAATGGCATTGCCACAGGAGTGATGACTTCAGCAGACGAAGTGTTAGTATATATCGCTGTCCCGGTGGCTGGCACTGATTAAATACAGAATTCAAAACGAGATCAATTCTTTGGGTGATCTTGAAAAAGCCATGACAAAATCTTCCGATATACTATATCGCGCAGTGCGCAAGTGGGGCATCAACGTGATGAATACAGCACCAGACAACACTCACAAGCACCCAAACAAGTACTCGCATGCCAACAGAGGGGCTCCAGAAATTTTACATAGCGGTACATTTGCAGACCCAGCAACTGCTCAAGTCAACGTCAAGATAGACAACCATATGATCAATGCTTTCTATGGCGCAGCCATCTCGGCGCTCTGGACGCACCAAAATGTCTTTATCGTGACTATGAAGGGACACCTGCCTTTCCACGCACAACCCTGTGACATTGACCTCTCTGATGACGTTAAGAGAGTGTGTGATGGAGATCGCGCCTATTTCTTCGTGAAAAAGGATTGGACGGCGGTTCCAGGAGTGCACAAACTTGATAAATGGAATTTGGACCTTTTGTCAGTTGCTAAGGCCTCGCGCTATACCCAGAAACGCCATGGCTACAATGCACAGTGGGACTCAAAAGCTGCAATCAAGGTCCTGATGTCTGAGGACCCACCACCGAAGAATCTTTTTATCAACTTGCCCGTTTGTTATTTGGACAATTTGAAGGATCATTGGCCGCCGAGAGAAATCGTCGATAGTGAGATAAATTGTGATGACGAGGTGAGGTTTTTTCCCTAATTCCGCTAAACGACTTGCTAATATGTTTCTACCCATAGTGCCGGCTCGAAATAATCGCTAAGGGTGCTTGTCAGCGCCAGACTCTTGAGGTCAATGGAAAAAAGCAGAAGTGGCCTATTCATTTGGAGAAAAAATGCCTTGATACAAAGCTGGGATGTCCTATTCCGATGTATAGGTCATGGCTATTCGAATTTAGCACGAGCCAACTTATACGCCTGAGGTTCCCAGCCCAAAAGTCCTGGTATGTAGTCTAGTTGGAGCAAGCTATTCAAGTTTGCAATAAGTTGCTTAGTATCTAGGAGATTATTATTTTGCGCCACGTATGTACTCGTTCGCTGAGATGATATTAACAAGCGCTGAATTCTTATTTTTAGACGTATCGTAAGATGTTCACTTTTACGGATGAGGTTATTCGTTGCAAAATCCGCTTATAGCTAAATTAGAATGTTAACCATATTGCGTTTCTGCATTTCAAGGATTTGTAGTAGAATGTTTTTGACGGTATCAAACTACTAAAGGAGGATGGCTTAGTCCTAGATGTTCCGACTACCGGACGTGTATGAAGTTGAGACTGGGAAGATCGCTAAGGTGGATGAGAGTAAATTGTAATTCTATAGTTGTCGGATGTATGCAGAGAAATGCGATTGAACCATGATACAAACGTATATTTGCACAAATAAGCTATAATATAGCTAGAAACATAACGGGCTCTATGAAATCTTTCCCTTTTGGTGAATGCGCCGAAAATGATCCTTCATATTGTCCATCCGACTGAACACCCGTGGACACCCTTTTGACTCACAGGTAATGTGAGGGTTATGTCTCGCCTCATGCCGCTTTCTGTCCTTTGAATTGGAGAACCCGTCGTCCAAGGACTTAGGGCACCTATCAAACCGACAGTGAAGGTGCTTACTGTGGCGGCTGTAGTGCTTGCGGAGGTCGCAGCCGCGACGAAACCGCGTTTTCGAAGTGCAGTCCGGAAAAGCGCAGCGCCAGGATCCATCAGAGGTTTGAATACCCCAGCGTGAGAGATTGGTTCGTCGGGATTGACAGTGGGAGATCGAACTGGGTTGGCTGTTTGGTGAAGAAGAAGCAAGATAGGCGAATTCAGGGCGGGGGGAGTTGGTAGCACTGGTTGAACCGGTGGAGAAGAGGGCAGAGAATGAGGGAGAAGGACAAGTACTGCAAATACTGTCCGTTCCTTCAGTGGTGATGGAAGATAAAGACGAACCCCCTGGACATTGTAGTCGTTGCTCGTCAATAATTGCGTTGATATTATTATCGAGATCAGAGCAACAATCAAGGGCAGAGATATTGCATGGCAGGAAGCTTGGAGCTAAGCCTGAGGTTGTTGGCTGAGAGAATGTACTAAGCTCGTCCATTGACTTGCCGAAACGCGAGAATCCATAAGTAGACATGTCATCGGTAGGCGCCCAGGTCTGATCAAAGGGCTCATTTACAAGGCATGTTTCGGGAAAAGTAGAGGATATTGCGTCGGCGAAGAGAGAAATTTCGGATCGCAAAGAGGATGAAACGGACATGTTTGGCCAGGCCTGATTATGCAAGGTAATTTCTCGATGTAAAGAAACACTCGCTGAGCTGCCGAGGAACGGTGTCTGGAGGTTGGACGCATGGACACCTCGCAAACTGCGGGTAGCAGTTGAGGGCACATTTAAAATCTCAGGGCAAGAACATGGATCGTTGTAGGGCATGACATAGTATTCGTCCTCCTTGTGAAGAGCCGGGTCCATGATTGAAACGAGAAGGAATCCGTTGGGGTTATTGTCAAAAAGCAGCATACAAGAGAAGAGATGATGGATAACGGTAATGAAAACCTGAATGATCCGTCTTGGGGAAGTGCTCGTTGGGGTAAGATTGTTCACGCGGTTTAATAGAAAAGGTTTACAAACCAATTGAGGACTTGACCGTTGTTTATATTTGAACTCACATAGGAGTTAATACAAAAGGCTACATATAAATAGAAACCTGAAGGAGGAGCCTTCCATCCTCAGCCATTGAGGCCTTCCATGGTGTTATTTATCACATGAGGGAACTACGTAAATGAGTATTGGAAAATCTCAAGAACCTCAGCCACTGAAAATAAATGGCCAGCTATTATTGCACAGCTGGTTAAGCTGGAAATAGCCAATTAATTAGATATCGGGGACCGCCAGCAACGATAAACCGACCAAACGTTATCTACGCGCGCTTATCAAAGGTATAGTCATACACAACAACAGTAATTATCCCAAACGACAGCAGTTGGGCACATTAAAGGCCCCATTTTTAGGAGTGCCAATCGGGCCTTTCATATCACGTAGGGCTGAATTATTTGGTTGCAGTTATAATTTTAGCAGCCCCCACACATACAACCCTAGGCCCATTCCTTCAAAAGATCTGCCTCTAAAAAAAGAACCTATGGCTATTTGATAACACCCCTGGCCCTGGTCCCATAAGGTGCGTAGCGCGTGGCCCCCGCTTTGCGTTAGTTTGCAGTTTGTTGAGGCGACGTTCTTCACCAGGTGCTGTTCTATCTGCCCGCTCAACTCTTTGCATAAATACTAGCTGGTGGATTGCATTTTGTGCAATAGGGATTAACATTCATTAAGCGCTTCCTTTGCGTCGGGTGGTGGGGGTGGGGAGGTGGTAGTTGAAGGAAGACGATTATGATTTTGGTAGAAATTATTGTTTTGGGTGGCGGGTCTTCTTCGACAGCGACGGCTAGTAAGTACGGTAATATTTTACTATATGGAAGGGCCGGGTCAGGGCTGAATGGTTCCAAGGCCATGATGTCATGATTATCATGAGCTCTTGCCAATAATCGAAAGAGGCCCCTGTTCGTTATGATAATTAAGTTCTATTTGGTCTTGGCGTCCCGTCGTCGTCCTATTCTTGCAATCCTACTCGTCTAGGACTTGGCCAGCTTTAGGCCTCCAATGCCATGAGATCTGCAATGGCCCACTACCTGCAAAGGGCTTTTCACCAGACTAGACGTTCCGCTGCTGCGTCGCCGTCGGACTAGGCCTAGCAGCTTGGTTTCATGCGATTTCATGGAGTGAGGGCTATATAACCCACAATCGTAGCTACGAAACGATAAGGTTATCCCTCTATTTTCCACTCTTGGGCCTTTCACAATGGTGAGCATTAATTCCGCCGCTGAAGCAGCTGTCGCAGCGTACAGTGCCGCCATCGCCCTCGGAGGCAATTACTCGGTTCCTCTTCAAGAAGCCGCCTCTGAAGTTTCTTCATTTTTCCTTCCAAATTACAGTTCCTTTACGATGGGAAAAATCACCCTATCATCAAATCAGTCTGTTGTGGCAGAAAATTTCATAAAGGAGTATGATGAGTTCAGAGCAAGCGGCGGCCCAGGAACAGATGTCCACGTCACACACTCGAGAGTTGAAGCGGTGTCGGACGAGAGCGCGCTATGCTGGTTAACATACCATATTTGTCCAATAAACGGTATGCAAGGTTGGGATTGGACAAATGTCTATGGGTTTCGGATAGTGAAAGGAGGAATTGCGAACGGGCTGGAGGGAGGATGGGAGTTCGCTATTGGCGACAATGAAGACTCGCAGTATACCAAAAGGTTCCCCAACGCGAGCTGAACTTGAATCTGAAAATAGCCCGTATTTTGCCTGAGTTGTTATCGAGCGCAAATTTAAGGGTATTCCTTCCACATTATAAGACTCTGTTTGTATGAAAGCTGTCTACTTGATACTCATTCATATGTCTCAAGACTTTTAGATGTCTCTGTGGATTTTTATGGTTATGCTGATCGGCAAAGAGATCATCCTCGTATTTACTGTAATGCGAGATCCAGCGTGGCGAGTCGGAGGCTTGACGGATGTGAGAGACAGCCGATAGACGAGATCCGGCTCCTTAACCAGCTGTTGTTCAAGTAAATCAGAACAGCATCTCAACTTCTGCGCGCCCAACAGGTGAATCTATTACCGACCTCGCACAAGCAATAGGAGTTGGAATTAAATCGGACACAAAAACTGAATCCCGTGAGTAGCCCCCGACATTCAACACTTGAGGCCCTCTCATACAAACCACGATGCAATTGACCGCCTGGCAGGGCAACTTTCTTGGTGGCCTCACTCCAGGGCACTACACAGAACAAAAATATATCAGCTAAAAAAAAAGGAAACGTTCCTGAGTGTCACTCGTGGAGGGTCTACCGCTGGATAAATCCTTGAAGGTTAACCCCATTGTTATTCTTGGTCTCTCGTTGCAAGCCGGATAGTCGGGCCTGACTTTTGTTTCACGGTATTTAACCATTTAATGTCGCCGGAGACTCTCTCCAGGAGGAGTCATCACAGACCCCTAAACAGTCAATTACCCGCCAGATAGCTTGATTGTTTCAATATGCGCCCAGACAATATGCAATTACGTCCTCGCTTTACGCGAACCCGAGCGGGATGTTTGACCTGTCGCAGGCGTCGCAAGAAATGCGATGGGGAAAAGCCAAAATGTGCGGCCTGCATTAGAAATAAGCTGGGTTGCGGCTGGCCTTCGAAGGAACAGGATTCCCACTCGCCAGAGTCTGGAGAGACACCAGGACCCACCAAGGTAGATCAATCACATGGCTTTGTATTGTTGTAGTATAGCTAACACAACCTTCATAGTGTCGATCTGACGAAATAAGTGAAGTTTCTCAACTCGTTCCCCAGTACTTGGGAAACTATGATGGTTCTGATTGGAACCCGAGGCTGATAAATTTCGACACGGAGCACGAAAGCCAGACAATAATCTTACAGCCAACAGCGGAGTACTTCCTGCGGATTTTGAGGGCTGCCTGTAATGCACCCGACATAAAACAGAACCCGGATCTGGCGAGCAACATTTCAGAGCTGCTTCAGGTATACATCAATCACACGTCCTGGTCACTCTGTACAATGACCCAAAGTATGTTCAGCGATGTTTGGACCGAGGTTGTTTTGGTGGCAGCCCAGGCTCACCCCTGGTTGATGGATTGCATCTGCGCCATCTCTGCCATGCACCGTCCACATCTTGCACCGAACGAACCACGACGCTATACCAAGATGGCCCATGAATATCAAGCCAAAGCCCTGACAGAGTTTCGATCTTCCGTCTCTCAAGTCACCGAAGAAAATGCAGTGGCGATTATGGGGTTTTCCTTCTTTCAGATTCTGATATGCCTGGCGGCCCCATTTGTTCCCGACCAAGCAGCAAGCACCAGTGACCCTATCAACAGTATTTTACAAGTCTTCACAGCCATACGTGGCTACTGGCAACTTCAACCCACAATCTGTCAGTTTGTAAAAACTGGTCGTGTTGCTTCCTGGTTTCGACACACACGCACACCTTCAGCTCGATCAGCCGTGCGATTTACCAACGTGCCAGGGCTAGAAGAACTTCAGACTATAAATACCATATCGGCAGCCTCAGCTGTTGAGAGAACTGTATGTCAAGATGCAATTTCTGCTCTACAACGGCTTTATTCCACTATCAGTTTCCGTCCATTGAAATGGGACGCTTTACTGGCGTGGCCACTGGCAGTGTCAGACGAATACATTCAGCTTGTCTGCGAGCGAAATCCAACAGCCCTGGCTATTTTGGCACATTGGTGTGTCCCTCTCCTGGATTGTCCGGACCAGTGGTTTCTTCGGGGCTGGGCAGACCATGTTCGGTACTCTGTCATGCACCAGTGCGGGCCCGAATATATTTCCGTCATACGGGGACTGGATGACCAGGAGAGAATCAACCAAATTATACATTCATTCTTTGAGCCAATTGTGGGTGGAAAGTCTACCACTGTTTACTGTAGAAATCCTCTGGTTGATAGGCTCCTCGAGTCAGATGAGCACTGAGCGCGTATTTCTAACTGCATATCTTGAAAATTTTTATATTATTTTCCGTCAGTCAATAGCTGGAATATTTGTCCGCTTGATGAAAATGGTTGTGTATGGATTCAAACGACTGAAAAGTCTTTAAATATGTTCAATGGCTATTATTTATCACTGCCTTGAGCAATTTTAACCTTTGCAGTACCGCCATACATTAATTTTTCTTGCATTTAGTGTATATAAAACTCGTTTCATATTCATTGAGCTTTATTTATGAGCTCTGGCTTCGAAATTATATAATCCACCTTCTTGGACATTCATAGCGATACATTCCCACGGCATGAATGAACAAATAGGATATTCAAATATCGCGTTGCACTGGCATCTCTTGAGCCTCATTCCCAGGTAGTTCAACGGGTCGCTTGCATGAAGAGCCAGATTTTTGTCCTGCACTTTGTGCGCTGGTATTTGTGTTACCAGAACCGGAATAATAGTCCTCAGGATGTAAGATATAATTCGGACTCTGCACCTTGCGAGACGTGGAAATCTCAGCAGGCGGTTTACTTCGGCTATAGCTTCCTCGCCGCCGGCGTCGTAAATACAGCCATGCGAACCCAGCGCAGATCAGTATTACCGCAAAGGCTACCCCAATTCCAATACCTGCCTTGGCACCACTGCTGAGACCAGAACCAGAACCAGAGCTAGAGTTGCTATTAGAGCTGGAACTGTTCCCTGCAGGCACTACGAATAACTCGTTGGGAATTGGGACGGTCTGCGCGTTACTTGCATTGGGTTGTGAACTGCAAGCAGATTCCATGATGTCCAGGACTATTGTGGGGAAGCAGAAATTAGCACAGCCTCCCTAAAAAGGAGAGAAGAAAGCCACGTAGGCGACGTACAGTTGGCAATCACTGTCAAATCAGTCTGACTTTTCAAACACTCAGAGCAGGATCCCGAATTTTGTACAAAAGAACCCTTATTCAGCGAACAGTATTCGTACGGTGCCACCATGCCCTTATCCGGTCGAAACCAGGACTGAGTAAGGGGTTTCTTCAATGGCGCGCAACTGGACTTGCAGCTCTGCGACGCGGCACTCGCCTTATGGTCAAAAAGGCAACTCATCGCGGTGTACTTCATATTAACTGTATGTTTGTAAGTCCACTATGACAGAAGAAGGATATTATGTCATACATAAGAACCAGTAGACATCATTATCGGTGGAATTCTCGTATGCTGTGCTTGAGCTTTCGCAGGTCAGGCATTTCCGCATAGTTTGCCCTTGGGGCGTGGTGTTGTAGTCGGTATCACCGCACACCACTTCAGCAGGTCTCGTTCTACCACCATCGCAGATGTCGAGACATGATGATGATCCTGCTGCCGAAATGGCAACGGTCGATTCAGGAAGACAGGTAGAAAAGCATGCTGTGAGATGACCTGAACAACGGAGGGGTGAAAAAAGATGGCAACAGTAAAACCCATAAGTTATGACGATGAGCTGAGAACTAACTTTCCCTGCCAATGCACCATTCTGAACTTACGGCAACCCGATCTGACATGGATCAGCGATAGCCCTATCTAAGCGCGCTTTAAAAGCAAGGCTGGATTGGCTAGCAAGATCTCGAACGCCACAGCAGATTTTGAAACGCGGGGGCTGAATTAGTGGCCAAAAATGCCGCGGTAGGTTACATCATTAGTAAAAGGGAGAGCTAAGGCTTGTCAAAAAAGTAATCCCAGTTGCCACATGGCCCATATGACATGATATTGCCCGTATTCGTGGGGAAGTGGGCCGTCTGGCTATTATTAGAATGTATTGGAGGGTCAATGTCGTTCGGCGTGGGAGTACGAACAACGATTGTATTATTACGATCGATTGTAGATTCTTGGAGGAAACAAAGTCTTCTTTTCAGGCCGTCTTCTTCAGGGACGGCCTAATTTCCAAGTAAAAATAGTCCTGAAATTAACGGACGGCCTCAAAGCTAGTGGTAATAGGGTATAAATCTAACTGTACCCTTCAGAATGCTTTGATGTAAGCTATTCAGTGTTCATGATTATCTCCATCATGAAGTTTGCAGCATCTCTACTTGCCTGTCTTTCCATGAGCGCAGCGGCCTTGGCCGCTGAGCAGAAGCCAAACTTTGTGATCATCCTCACCGATGACCAGGACCTTCGTATGGAATCGATGGCATACATGCCCTTGGTAAAGAAGCATCTCACCGACCATGGGATGTGGTTCAACCACCATTATGCGACAGTTGCATTGTGCTGCCCATCGAGGGCAAGCATGTGGACTGGCAAGGCGGCACACAACACTAACATTACAGACCTTGCTCCCCCTTACGGTACTAGGCTATATTACAAAATTATTTTCAGACACCAACAATCTGCAGGTGGATATCCTAAATTCATTCATGAGGGATTCAATGAGAAGTGGCTACCAGTGTGGATGCAGGAGGCCGGGTACAATACATATTACACGGGCAAGCTAATGAACGGGCACACGATTGATAATTACAAACACAAGCTCAAGCAGCTTAGTCTGGACGGTCATGACTTCATGATTGAGCCTGGTAAGTCTAGTAGTTTGGAATAAATGTAGTATTACTGACACTCTTAGGGACATATCAATACACCAACGCTACATTCCAGCACAATCTCGACGAACCCAAGTCTCACCCAGACGAGTACGCCACGGATCTCCTTGCAGAGAAATCACTGGCCTGGATTGATAAAGCCACTAAGCACAAGCATGGCAAACCCTTCTTCCTAGCCATCAACCCGGTCAACCCGCATAACAATTTAAACTGGAGCGAAGGCTGGACTCCGCCAGTGCCTGCAAAGAGACACGAGAATGGTTTCCCAGGGGCTCAAGTACCACGAAAGGCTTCCTTTAATCCTGATAAGGCACGTAAAAATTATGTATACAGAGGTGCGGACATTCAGCTAATTGAAAATGAAGCCAAGCGGAGCCAGTTGGGTAAGAAGTCTCGACCAACTGAGCGGAACCAAGATCAAAGAAAATGATAACTTCTACCGCCGCCGCCTACAAGCCCTACAATCCGTCGATGAGCTTGTTGAGAAAATTGTCAAGCGTCTGGAGCATCATAAAATACTGGATAATACATACATCATATACACAAGCGACAATGGCTTCCATATCAGCCAGCACCGACTGACTCCCGGAAAACGGTGCCCCTACGAGGAAGACGTCAACGTTCCCCTCATTATCCGGGGACCAGGTGTGCCGAAGGGTAAAACAGTTGATTTTGTCACGTCGCATTTGGACCTTGCGCCTACTATCGTGAACTGGGCCGGTGCGAAGGGGCCGGGTGATTTTGATGGTGCTTCTATTCCAAAGAATGGGCAGCCTGGTACCGAGGAGCCCTGGGAACATGTTGAGATTGAGCATTGGGGGATGGTCTCGAATAAGAAACAGTCGAGACTGAAGGATAAGTTCGATACTTACAAAGCTGTGCGTGTTATCGGCCCAAGGTATAACTTGTATTACTCTGTATGGTGTGAGGGCGACCATGAGGTGTATGATATGACGGTGAGTTTTGATCTTCATATTCAATCTCGTTTCTGGATAGGTTTCTGATTGTCTGTTATTTAGAATGACGTACACCAGATGACAAACCTCTACGATTCAAAGCACAAAATCATGGGCGCCTCTATGGAAAGACTGCAGCACAGACTAGACGCATTGCTGCTCGTCACAAAGACCTGCAAGGGAAAGACATGCCGACGACCGTGGGAGGCACTACACCCTAATGGAGAAGTCAAGACGCTGGCTAATGCACTAGACTAAAAGTTTGACCAATTCTATGAGAAGCAGAAAAAGGTTAAGTGGGAGCAGTGTGACCGCGGCTACCGTATTGACAACGAGATGCCTATCGAGTACTTGGCCTTTGGGGATTATGTGTCGGTTGAGGGGCGTAATATGGAGGCTATGGCTAATTGGGAGATGTTCACTGATTAGTGTGATTGCGTTGGTCGGGTTGTCTAGAGTGTATATAGAAAATGAGATACCTCATGCAATTCCTGGGATATTTCATCCATTTGCATGTACTTACATGACTAGTACTATTTGGTTACAGTCGTTCCTGTTCATATGCATTACTATATATATGCAATTCCAAAGGTATTTCTTTCGTTTCTCAGATGTACATATGACTAGTACTAGTTATTGGTTGCGGCCAGACTTACACACACTTTCCTCTGACTACTCCTAATTACACACGTTACTTCTATGTCTATCAATTTATACATATTCAATATCCTAACTTCACCCCTTAGGATCTTATCTAGTAATAATGGTGACGGTAAGGCTACCCTCTCGGGTAGCGATCGGCTCAGAGATCACGGGGTGAGCCGCTCCCTGAGCACTCTGAGCTAGCCCTGAGCAAGCTCCGAGCGATCTCTGAGCGACCTCTGAGCGGGACCTGAGCGTTTGCTCACCCCCTTCCGTTCTCATCGTGCCTCTGGTCCTTCTGCTGCTCCGATGCTAACCGCTCTACTGCCTACTAATGTTCCTAGGAGTCAAGGCCAAAATGACGTTTTCCCATGTGGTAGTAACTTTCATCCTCACGTTCGAATTTCCTAGTGACAAATTCGTTTTTTTGAATCTACCTCAGAAATTAAACCACCCCTCATTTTTACGTTCTATCCTTTGCACTACCGAAACGGGCATCGATGTCCAACTCTTCTACGGCCCTTACTACGTAAAACTAATGGCGGAATTCTCTTCCCTGTCCTCGTGGGCACCCGTACTATCTCTAATCCTAGGATCAATATCCGTTTCTCATTTGCGTAAATCCGGATATGTGCTCCGCCTTATGTCTCGAACACATCGCCGCTACGTGTCTTAGGCCTAGATAACATTAGTGTCTCGAAATAGTAAGTTATATTCCTAGATCATATCACTTAGCCGCCTTATTAAGAGTGAATCAAGCCATATTCCTAGGAACCTCTCTTCGTCTATCCACTACGAGCACGGATATTCCTACGATTGGCTATGGACAATAATGGTAGAACTATACGTTAGTCGACATGGCGTCTTCACGATATTTGTTTTGGCATGGTCGGGTGCTAACCGTCCTACGACATTTCGCTTCTCGACTCCTACTAGATATAAGAAAATGAATCATAGCGCTTATAAATAACCGCGATGTTGGCTCATTGGGGTTGTACTCTGAAAGCATCATTCAATCTTGGACTCGATCCTCGGGCTTACCCGATCGAGCTAGTCATACCATATGAAACGTTTCTAGCAATGAGTCAGCCACCGCATTGCCCATTTCTCCAATTACGACGTAACATGTCCCACTCTGTGTGGCTGAAGTGATAGCCAACTAGGGCGTCGAGAAATCCACGAAGCGCGCGGCACGCTAAGAGCCATGGTTAGGCAATTGAAATAGCGATGCTCATCACCCTCATCTGCCATGTTGTCTCTATGACCTTGATCACCGACCATCGAATCTCCCTCTCATTCCTACCTACATGAATATGTCAAAAGTACCGACCAACGCGCGCACTATGGCTGTATCAGAACATACGGTCGCGGAGATGCCTGCTGAGATTATTCAGATGTCCCATATCAACGCCGAGTCCCATGGAAGGGCATTAGTAGTGTATGCAGATCATAGCACTAGTCATACCTTCCACGGAGGGGTTCATCATTATCAACACGTAGGTAGGTGTTAGGCTAGGGTCTTTGCCTTTGGCTAATAACCGCTGTGGCTAGAGCGACTGGTACCCCGTCTAGAGCCTCTCTCGACCTTGCCGTTCCCGGGCAATCCGGACTTTGTCGGCCGCGAAGCACTCGGCCAGATTCACCAATATAGCCTCGATCCCGGGATCCCGAACGGTGCTTGTCGGTCTTGGCGGCGTCGGGTCAGTGTGTGTTAGGGATCAGACCAAATTGTATCAATTGATGGTATGTCCTGTGCACAAGAAGGATTCATTAAGGAAAGAAAGAAAGAAAAAGGGGAAAAGGGGAAACAAGACGTATAGGTAAACATGGCAGAATGAAAGGCGGTCACGAAGCTTCAGCTGAGTATAACAATATCAGGACAGCGTACGAAGGTGCCATAACAGTGTGGCACCTCCCCAAAAGGATCTCGAGATGCTGAGTAATCAGTAGAAAAACACAAATAGCCATCGAATACTCTCATCGGGTTCGACGGGAGTCACTAGAGACGTCGGTCATTTGGATTCACGCGAGTAACGCGACTCGCTACAGCGAAAGTTTCTAAGAACTTGCTAGGAAAGCTAATATTCCCGGCTATTAGGACCCTAACTCCAACGTATTACAACTCGTCGGGAACTGGCTCAGTGACTATGGGCCTGGCAAATGGATCCTTATCATAGATAATGTAGATGACGATTGGCTCCTGCGTAGGCCTTTAGTAACCAGCCAGAGCAATGCCTCGATACGGCCACCGCTAGAATATATCCCACGAAATTCGAAAGGCTCGGTCATCATTACGAGTCGCGACAAAAGACTCGCGCTACGAATGGCTCATCATAAGAATATCATTGAAGTATAACTAATGACCAAGGCCGAGGCGCTGGTTCTAGTACAGAAGAAGCTGGATGTGTCCGAAGAGAGCGAGGACCTAAGGCAGTTGGTTGAGGTGCTCGAATTTATGCCGCTTGAGATCGTCTAAGCCGCCGCCTATATCATACACCGTTCACTGCGCTGCTTAGTGTCGTAGTATCTCGAAAAAATTCGGAAGAGTGACCGTGAAGCGATCCGGCTTCTCGCTCTTGAGGCAGAGGTAGGTGATATTAACCGAGACTGGGAAGCTTAGAACTCCATTGTGCTCACGTGGCAAATATCATTTGACTATATTCGAAGGATAAGGCCGTCTGCAACGGACTTGCTCTCGCTTATAAGCTTTTTCGACCGCCAGGGATCCTAGAGAGCATTCTTCGAGTTCCGCAACATCAACAAAGAAATGGGAACTTCTGTCCGAAGAAGGTTGAGGGTAGCGAATAGGACATAGACAATGAGACTTATTCTAATGTAGACCCTTATTTGGAAGATGATATCATAATCCTTAGCGACTTTTCATTGATATCGGCCGGAGAATATAGCGAAACTTTCACAATGCATCGACTAGTACAGCTGATAGTACGCACATGGCTCAAGACTCATAGCTAGCTCGAGCAGTGATAATTTGTATTCTGAATTCCCCATCGGTGAATACGAAAACTGGGAAAGATGCCGGTCGCTCTTTCTATACGTTAAATCGGCGATATCACAGCGGCCGAAATCCTAGGACTGCCAACGACGATGGGCTACGCTACTTTATCGAGGTGTATGGTACGCGTGGCAAAGGAGTAATATCTCGGATGCTAGGGAAATGGTATCGAAATCAAGCAAACAGAGAGTGGCCATACTTGGAGTAGATGATGAAGACGCTCTTAATAGCACTAGACTACTAGCTATTATTTATTCGCTAGAAGGAAAGTATGAGGAGGCAGAGCAGCTCGAGGTGTAGGTGCTAGAGATGCGTAAGACTAAACACGGTGACGACCACCCCGACACGCTAACTAGCATAAACAACCTAGCGACTACCTATATGGTTTAGGAACGGTGGGAGGAAGCGGAGCAGCTCGAGGTGCAGGTGATGGAGGCGCGTAGGACCTTCATTTGATATTGTGACGGGCCAGGGCCTGATGCCAATCGCGTCCGAACACGGGACATCCGCTAGAACCTATCAATTAGTAGTGTTCGACAAGCGGCAGCGCGAGTTACGAGTATACAAACGCCAAGCCGAGTGTATGAATATATCTACACCGCATCGCCCTAACCCCTTCCCTTTCTGTGAGCTTTTGTTAACATTTCGTGGCCTAGCTAGATTAATAAATCTCGCGTTACCCTTTAGGGCCTTCACAGATATCATGTATTTCAGCATGTCAGTATTTTACATTCGGGCTGGCTGTGTAAGTACGTCACCATCCAAATTCTCGGAAGCAGGGATTATTCTTGGCATAATCGTATTAAGACTAGCGCATTATGACGTAGGGTTCTAGTAAGAAACTATGTGTGTAGACGTGGAAGCCAATTTCAAATTCGAGTGTGTTATAACGGCCCATCCACCCCCACAGTATCGCCATGCTTGTAGCAAGCTTGCCAATACCTAAACCAGTGCTTTCAAAAATATAATAAAACTGATTCGAATCATGTGAAGATTTGGATAGGGGTCATGTCAAGTGGTGACCAGCCTCTGCCGCTTCATCAACGAAAACAAGGTGATATGATTGAAAATTCCACATTTTATGGAGATAGAACTCTCGCAAATCGGCGATTTGTTCTTTGGGCCTCTGCCGGGCTGTCTTTTTGGACCAGCCTTTGGACGGCAGGGCCCTGCTGATGCTAGATGTTGAAAACAGATTGGCTCCCAAAGTTGTGGACGGGAGAACCGACTCTTAGAATTCAAGTATCACTTGTATATTGTTATTGTGAATTCGATTAATGAATGTTTAGGAGCTAGACTCAGGCTTAACTGCCAATCCCACCAATCGCCAATTGCCCACTCTCACTTCGACTCCTACTCTCACTAGTCTTCTTACGAGTCCATATTAACCACTGCACAGTTGCCATTTGACACTTGAAAAGTATTAAAATTGACATCAGTTGGTGACAAAGACATCCACCCATGATTACTGGACTGCGAGCACGTCGTCGTGTCAACCATAATGCAGACTCCGCTTGCGTTTACGAGATAACTGAGTCCGCAGGACTCATCCTGTATACAGGCAACGCAGCAATCATACGGAGTGGACCCGCTTCTGGTGGTGTACGTATACCCCGGGAACGTTCCCCATCCAGCGTTAACGACATATTGACCTGCGAGTTCGCCAAAGTCCGATGATAGAGGCGAGCCGGCGATGTTGTTGGTGGCGCAGGCGCCTAAGACGGAGGTTGTGCTTGACTCTGTGACGGTAAAGGTGGTTGTAACCGTCTGTGTTGTCAGCGGAAGTGTCGTTGCCGAAGTGATAGTACATGTGACTGTTTCGCTAACCGTTGTTGAGACATCTGCGGGGACGATGGTCGAAGTGGTAGTGACGGCGCTAGTTATGTGAGTGGTGACTCTCGGGACGCACACTGTCTTAGTGATAGGAGTAGCGGTGAAGATCTCGATGATAATGATCTCTACGATAATCTCCTTGATGCATGTCACAGACTGCGGATGCTGCATATTTTTGATATCAATAGCATTTGACCGTTTTTCGAGGTCCCGTTTTTTAAGTGGAGCCTGCGTAGAAAAACTAGAAGCAATCGGAATGAAGCCATCCGTAGCAGCGATTGTTGATGTCGCCGTGGTCGTCGTTGTAGTGTCTGACTCGATAGTAACAGAGATAGGATCCGGGGTCACCGTCACAGTAGCGGTATTAAACTCGGTCGAAGTGACTGAGACAACATCGGTGTTAGTCGAAGCAGTGACATAGGCAGTAGATGTTGTGAACGCCGTATCGGTCACAGTCACGGGCTTGAGTTTCTTAGTCGTAGTGGAGTGAACCGTCGTAGACATAGTCACTGTACGGAAGATGGTCGTCGAACGCTCCACGGTCACGGTAGGAACGGGGCCTTTGTGCGCGAACTGGCCCAACTTGGTTTGGTGAGACAGCGAGGTCGAAGTGTGATGCTGAGTATGACGCTCATGAGGCTTTAGGGCCTTTGGCGCGGCCTCCACGCGCGCAAGAAGCACGGCGAGAAGAGAAATAAAGCCAGCAACACGCATAATGATTTATTTTGATTGTTTTCCGTAATCAATTGATAGATTTTCAAACTAGATGAGGTCCGCTAGACCCTATTTAAGGGTTTTGTGAAGTAAACACTTTTCCATCTTAACGGTTCAGCTTGCCGTGCTCACTGACTAGCGCGTCGGCCTGACCGTCTCCACCAGGAACTAGGGTGTTCGTGGCGCGGCAACCGTAGCCTTGCCTTCGGAGTGCCCTTAGCGTCAAAATAGTACCTAAATCTTAGCGAATGCTTACCCCCGCTATTTTAAATTCAGGGTAAGATGGCCGAGACAACATAGTTAATCATAAGACGCCTCACAGTTGGGCCCAGATCACTACTGTCGGCAGTTTTATCTGTAATGGAGATGGCTTGATCGCTCTTAGAGCCAACGCACCAGACACTGAAGATTTTACGAACAGGTTCGTCCACAGACATAGTTAGTTGCAGTACACGCCACTCGAACCATCGGCAATGTCAGCCAAAGGTATTCATATCCCACACTTCGAATGCATTAACGCCGCCCGGCCAGATGCCTCGAACGCCCCAAGGTAGTAAACAAGACAGATAAAAGATCATAGGTACATTAAATAGTCCTATTCACCACTTCGTACGAGGATCTTGATATCTTCGTCCTGAAGGATAAGATTATCGTTCAGCTCCATGACGCGCCTCGTCTACTTGCTCCGCAGTCCAGTTCGTATATGCATGACCATGCAGTGGTAATTTTGGCCGACCACCGTGTTCATCGCCTTGAGGCCGTCCACCTCCGCCATAAGCTCTCGTTAAAACTCTATGTAGCTCTAGACCCTAGAAGTAAAGCATGGTCTCAGTCGGCAAGGAAGTTAGGAAACGCTGTCTGTTCCCCGGAGAACCCGTTCACCGGGTCGAACGTGGCGGAAAACAAGGCGGACACACTGCTATGGACCCTTGGCTAGAGACTTAGTCGGCATCGCTGGCAACCGCTGTTCAAGGCGCGCCGTGCCTAGTGCTGGAGTGGTCGGTACCCGAGCTTGAGGCCTGTCGAGCGGTCTCGGTCTCTTTTGAAGTGCGATTGGCTAGCCCGAATCATCCCAATAGCTACGCTTAGATGCTCAAGAAAGTAAAGATAGGTATGATACTTAAGAGGCTTTATGTTGTGAGTACCTATCCCGGCAGAGGTCGAAATAGGTTGACGACAAATAGGCACATTGAGTATCGCTTGTTTGAATTTTAGTTTCAAGGAGCGGCGCAGTGGGGTTACACGGGTTCTCAAAATATCCTCTACAGAGCCGATGTTCGGTAAGAACGCGAGGCCAAGAATCGCTATTGCAAGCACGAGAATTACGATGTCAAAAATAGGCTGCTTTACTTCCGATATAAAAAAGATTTTCCTTTAGCTACGGTCAGTCTAGGGGAGCGCGAGCAAGCATCGAGTTTACTCACCTTTTAGGTCTGCTATGATGGCCCTTGGTATGTTTCAAATCAACTTCTGTTACAAGGTGATCGCCGACTCTACTAGGGTTGGGTAGCAAAACCAAGCTGATTTGGCTATAGCATAGATTTTTGAGATCGTCTGCCCTAAGATCCTAATATTCTTTATTATGAGCTTCATCACTATCGTTAGCATTGCTGAAGAAGTGCTAAACATTGGTTCGCTCATTCTTGTCGACTGTGACAAGGTGCCAGGTCAAGAAAGAAAACGAAGAAAGAATTCAATTTGAGAGCTAAGGTCGACGGGAGATTCAAGTTGAGGAAAGGAAGAAGAGACAGAGGAAGAGTCTCTACTTATCTACAACAGTCTATGTCCTGTGTCACCTGTCGAGCACAATCCTCAAGCGCAGTCCCGTAGTCGATTGCTCTTGCGTCATGCCGGAGTTACTAGGATCATGGGGGTCTGCATTGTGGATGCTGTCATAACGGGATCCCGAGACAATGCGCGGTTCCGTACGCGTAGTTCCGTTATTCCTGGTCGCAGGCTGGTCACATCGACGTAAACTAGCGCCCTTAGTCGACTTCAAGTATAAGCCGACATAAGTAGAAGGAAGGCTAGCTGGATGATTTGCCGACCATCGGGGCAAGGTGTTATATCTTTCATCTAGTGGCGGTGGAGCACAATATATAGATTATCGACGTTTGTGACGGCTCCGATAGACATATCGAGTTCATAACGTGGGATCAAGTTTTCTTTCATGTACTTCTGCCTTTTTGTTAGAATTTCTAAGACATAAGACTGTAAGAGTTACCCATATCATTAATATCCTAGCAGCTCTTCGTATGAAGGCTACGTCCTATAGCTTTGCGATAGAGCTGACACTATAGTCTAGTTTTCGTATAAGCTGCTAAACTTTTTATTCTAGAGTTATCTAATATATATTCCAAAAATATTATGACGTCCTCCTTCCTCGCTGCTTCAAGCAACTTTAAATGATCTTCCCTAGATAGACGCAATGCCTAGATTTTTGTTAATACAATGTTAAAAATGAATGTGTGATAGTTATCTACCTGGTCCATTTTTTCTTGATGTAGCCGATGTTGTTTTTGGTCGATATAGCATGCCGTTTCTGAATAATTCCTTTCTCTAATCGCTGACGGCGCCGGCGATAATACTCTAGGCTAGGCGCCTGTTTCTTCTTCTTCTTTGTGGAAGTGTAATGATGTAAGATAGTCATAACTTCGGAAGTAGTTGGTTGTAGAAACCAAGAAGAAAAGGGGGGCAGATCAAGGAAACCGAATTAGATAGGATGGAACAAGGTAATGATAGGAACCCAGAAAGATTCTAGGGAAGCAATTCGGTAATGGCCGTTTTTATTCTGCGCAAAGTAGTCTACGATTGATTTGGGGGGGGAGGACCCTTTAAGTACTAGAGAAAATGGCTCTGGAAGGGCCTGTACTCAAAAAAAAAGACCGTTCTATTTTTGTGTTGAGCGGCTACAAGCGGGTCAGAGATAGAAAGAACACACGTCACCTCTGATCGTCTGCTCTGAGCAACCTGAGCGAAGGCTGAGCAGATCACTGAGCAGCCCTGAGCGCTCTCTGAGCGCTCAGAGAGTGCTCAGAGAGCACATAGTTCAATCGTATCACATGACATGTGAATGACTAAGATCCTGGTAAAAAGGGGCGCCGAAAATGGCTACCTTGGACGCCATTTTCGGCGCTCGATTTACCGTCACCTAGCGTTGTGGTGTAGTATTGTAGTTGGGCTACTTACTATAGCTGGCTAGGGAGGAGGACGTACCTAGATAGGTAATATCCTTACTAGATGCTTATAAGTCTAAAACTATAACGTAAAAATGGTGACGGTAAACCTGCCGCCTCGAGCATCAATCAGATCTGAGATCACGGGGTGAGCGAGCCACTCTCTGAGTGCTCAGAGCTACTCAGCCCTGGCCCTAAGAGAGACCCAAGCTACTTAAGCAACCTGGGCACTCACCCCGTGGCCTACCCTTTTAGTTCTCAACATGCCTCTGGCCCTTTGCTTGCTCTAATGCTAACTGCTCTAATGCCTATTCGTGTTCCTAGGAGCCTAGCCTAGGATGACGTCTTCCTATGCCTTTAGTAACTTTTACAAAGTGAGGAAGATGGGTATTTTTTGAGAGGATTGAGTTGTAGGGTATGTTGGAACTATAATACAACTTGAAGAGAGACTAAAGAAGGAATGAAATTGGATAATAGCAATATATAGAAGGCAAATAATGAAAACTATAAGTTATGCAACTGCGGAGTGGGGCCTACCAGCATATCACACAACCGGAAACATAACTTTGAACGGCACTACTCATGCCAGTATTTCCCTCACCTCATTGACATGGTATGATGGACTATGGGGCGAGACTGTTGAAGGCAATTCCGCCCCTTTCGTCACGGGGAACTAGACCTGGTTCGAGCTACACTTTTCCTATTCCTATTTCGCACGGGCTAGCATATGGCCCTTGATCTAGGTTTAGAAAATTTTCGTTTTGCTACTTCCCGAACAAAGACCGGTGCAAAGTTGGGAGCTGGCATTTGCCAATGGGGACAGGCTGAAAGTCGCTAGTATACGCAAGGACGAAGAGATTAGCAGCCCGGTTATTCGGGGAGATTCTGCGTATGAGGGCTTCGTCACAGCATTTGGAACATTGCTAGGTGAAGAGGGCAGTTTCGGCGTTGTGGAAATGACCACTTGAGACATTGCGTTCTTGTTGCGAAGAGAACGGGACGTTGAAGCTAGATATTTATTTGATTTTTATTCTTCATCCTGCCCTCTTCCGAGAACTAGCAATAAATCATTCCTAGGGCGGCACTTTCGGTGATGTATAAAATATACCTTTGTAAAGCATAGTATCCCTCTGATATTGATTCCTGTAGTTGGCAGTTGAATGGTAGCGATAATATCTTAAAGATTCTAATTTTACTTATGGATATGTTTTTAATCACTATGATTTATCGACTTTTATAAAAAGAAATCTAAAATTAAATAGGTAGCAGGCATGCCTAGCGCGACAAGATCAACATGCCTTCTGATCAGCCATGGGGCCAAAAATACGATTCCTTTGAGTCACATTTTATGGAAACAGAGATCACAACCCTTCTTAGCGTCTTGTTCGTACTAATGTTCTCAACAAAAGTGTCTCTAAGGACATCAAGCTTGTTCTGAATTTGGTCACCGAACATGACGATGTTGTCCTAGGCGATCGATTTGAAAAATCCCCAACAAGCTAGAGTCGGGCTAATAGACGTGGTCGCCTACGCAAGTCATCGCTTCGACAGAATTCGCGTACATTAAATGACCGAGTCCAGAGCTAATGCGGAGGCCGCCCTAAATCTGAACAGCGTCAAAAAAAGCCTTGTTCGATGGGAAGCCAATTTTGACGACCTTGTCGTCGACCAAGACACGCGTCTTATGCGGTACGCCTCATGACAATAGCTATCGGTTTTGCGAGCCGAAGTTACCTAGCCGCCAGCGAGTGCGCGTACGACGCCTCGCGCGCCGAGTGTGAAGAAATGCTGCAGCTCACCGAAAGTCTCGTTTCCGATCGCAACCGGTTCCCCGACGACGGGTTTTGTCCGTTGGCTCTGGACCTCAGTTTGATATTTTATTCTCATCTGATGGCCTGGTAACGCCGATGGCCGCGTCTTCCGTCGCCGCGGCCTCGACTTGTTGCGGAGTTACCAGGCGCAAGTGGCTTCTGGATGCGGACCAGTATCACACTATCTTTAATCGTATTATGGAGATTGACGAAGCACGTCTTCATCTTCAGCCTGGTGAAATTCCTCGGGATGATTTACTTCCTCCGGGGTACGTTCGGATTCAAGATTTTTCTGTGGGGCTCTACCATCACGTCCTAGGGAGGTTATCTACGCAGTCACGTTCTGGAGCAAGCCTCAGGGCCTTGATGGGCCATGGTTCAGCGTCGCTGAACACATGCCGTTAGGCTGCTTTGAACCTGGTGAATCAGCTGTTCCAGTGAGCCAGAGCGCTTGGTACTTTTACCATCCCGCACGACTGATGCCGTCGATACTCAGCCCCAGGCAGGGCACCGCGTCAAAAAGCTCGTCGCGTGCACGATCTATGGCGGCTGCTCTTGGGGAAGTGTCGGTAGCCTAGTGTAGGCCAGTTTCGTGAATTATTACTTCGGGTCACCAACCGGATTTTCCTAGGGTGTCTTGAGGTCCGCGTAATTGGGACGAAACCACCATCTCGAGTCAATATTGTGAGGAGTCGAGTTTCCTTACAGGAGCAGGGTTTCGATGTGGTCAGCACTCGAGTACTTAACCTGCATGTGGCTTATGTAGCCAATAGACCCAGGGCGGTTCCGCCTGGTTGACAAATGGGTGAGCGCCGCTTTAACGTCGCGCGGGGCAAGAAGGGCAGGTAATGACGCACATTGGAGCTGAGATTAAAAAAGATCCCGGGACCCTCGGACCCTGGTGTCTCGGTAATCTCCGCTCTGTAGTCAGGACGGCCTACGCACACTTGGAAACACCTGGTTTGTGAGCCGTTGTGACGGTGGAGCTGTGACGTCGTTTCCATGTTTACATCCACCCTTGTAATTTGCTTCGATTACCTATTTAAATATTGAACGCCCTGATCAATTGCAGAATTTCGCCTCCTGAGACTTTTTTGTACCCATCTCTCCTACACTCCTGCAGGCTCGATCGCTGCTGAGCAACTGCTGGGTGTTCATTTAATTCGGTATCGGAGCCGTCGTCTTGTTCGATAGGCGCAATCGTCAAGGAGCCGTGGAACCTAAACATGAAGTATCGTCTTGGCAGGATGGGAGCACCCTTTATTTTGCGCCAGGCCCTTTTACAGGCGTCTCTTCTCTCAATTTCCTCCGCTTCCCCCGCCCCAACTGCTCTCGCCGACGCCGTTAATGTCGCCCTGCCAAACCCCATCATTACACCCTCCCCGGTCGAGCGTAATCCTTCTCCAGTCGTCGGCCGAGACATTCTAAGCGACATTGACTCTGATGTCGGCAGCATTCTCTCTGGGCTTGGGTCTGACCTACCCTCGTGGGTCGCATCTGGAGTCCCCAACTTCTTCCAAGGTTTTCCGACTGGAGACGCAGTTGTGAGCTCCCTCGGCTTGGAAAGCACGGAATTGGCAGCTTTACCAACAAATGTGTTGAACATCAACCCTTACGCCAACTGGACCAACTCAGGCTGGAACATTCGCTTCCACGGAAACGTTTACAAGCAGCCAAACACTTCGGTCTCAGACTTGAACAAGCTTGCTGATGGCTTTCTCGTCAACACTAGTATCTCGGACCTTCCTGAATCCCAGCAAGAGCAGGCACGTAACCTGACCGCCGAAATTTATGTTGTCCAGCAGCCAAATGTTGCCGTGAACACTATCCATCTCGAGCCTGCACCGGGTCAGGGATCCAGCGGACAGCCAGGCGGCGGTGGGTCATCTAACACAACGGGTGGCACGCAAGACATCTCTCTGCCTTACAACACAACTGTCGAAGGCGATTTCGACACATTTGTGCCGATCGACAGCAATGATCTCACTGCGGGAAATGAAACCTCGGCAATCCAGAGACTCAACACTTATGTTAAGGGCGCAACTATCGGAAATAGCACCGCCTATCTCGTGCCTCCCACTGGACTCACTGTCGTTTCCGATATAGACGATATCCTGCGTGTCACCAAGATATATGAACCGGAGCAAGGACTACTCAACTCTTTCGCCCGCCCATTCACTCCTTGGGAGAATATGCCAGATGTTTATCGCAACTGGTCCACCAGCCTCCCAAATATGCATTTCCACTACCTTGTAAGTCTTTTCCGGCTCCCCTTTCTCGTTCAGAACACTGATAGCCATTTAGACCACCACCCCCGAGCAAATTACTAGAAACTACATGCAATTCATCTACACCAACTACCCGGGTGGCTCTTTCGACACCCGTCCTCTGAACTTCAGCGACATTTCAGCAACCCTGTCAATCCGCAAGTTCCTGTTACAAAAGGTCTTCGAAACCTTCCCTGAGCGCAAGTTTATCCTGATCGCAGACACCAGCAACAGCGATGTCATGCGCGACTACCCAGAAATGGCTACCGAGTTCCCGGGACAAGTCCAGTGCATCTTCCTCCGCAACACCACGGCAACAGATTCGGGCGACAGGTTCCCATACGACACATCCGGGTTCAAAGACCTAAACCAGTCAATGTACATGTTCTTCCTGAACCCCGATGACCTGACCAACTTGGATATTGCGAATGGACAATGCTACAATCAGTCTATTGCTCAGAATCTGACGTTCGGTTACCAGGGTCTGCCCCTTGGCCTGGGAGATAGCCCAACGGCAGTCAACGGGTCAGCAAACCATACCGGAGCTGCTAGCGGACTCGTGACAAAGGAGTCTACTGGTGTGCGGAGCTTAATGGCTTTGATCGCAGCGATGGTCACGGCCACTTTTATGTTCTTGTAAAATCATGCATATACGAGTAATGTTGTTAACGAAGATCTCGAGTGCGATTTTCACACTATTTCTCTCCTTCCTAGTGTATATCACCATGTATAAATCTATGGAGTGAAAGGACTACAGTAATTCTCCACATTAACGAACCCCGGATTCAGGAAATGCCGCGCTTTAGCGTAGCCCCTGAGTTTCCAAAACTGTTTTCGCACTATTACAACGAATATTTTCACTAATTTGCGATTTACGAAGGCTTCCTACCCTACCATCAAGACTTGAACGAAACGGGGCCGACCGCGGAAACACATCTCCATTGAAGAAAGGCAGATCTACGATACAGAACAACGGCGTATAACGCGAATAGCTATATATCTATAGGCACTAGTAGAAATTTATTAGATAACCGTCCGATATCCGACCGAATATATCAATTATCAACAAAAACTCCCGAGTCCGTCAGATCCAAAAAGGAAATCTGAATTTCTCTTTACTTTTCTAAGTAGGCATATTGATTATAGGAAATTTATAACTGATTCGGGCTCTTCTATATCTTCTAATACTATATTAATTAGAATTAGAGTATTTCTAGTGGGTTCACATCGTACTATAGAGCCTTGTAAGGAAATACACTCGGTTACTCATGTATTCAATATAAATAGGAGTAATTTCGATCGCTTTTTAATTAGACACTACGCGACCTCCGACTTTGGCATTGTTGGGTGCATTCGGTACTAGTATATATAGGATTTCTCCCTTCCGACGGTTATGAGCCCGGCACACCATCCAATTGCATCAGAGACTGATCAATCGCTGCCCGAGTCCGACGGAAGACCTCCATCAGGAACCCCTAAAGCTGTTCTGAAGCGCCCGCCAAGTCTCACAAAACAACCAAATTTAACCGCGTGGCTCTATCCCGACCCTCGTGGATAGCAGCCAATCATACCTCGGCGAGAAGCTGAATCCAAGTTTTCCGATAGGTCTCAACTTCCGACAGAGCCAGAGATCCAAGGAGCCGGAACTTCTAAAAACTGATGTCGCGAATTTTACGAATATCATGGAGTTACACAAGCTTCAGGCCCACAATATTGAAAAAAATAAAGACGGCTTCGACGAAATCCGACCTTCTCATCATTAGAATTGTCGATGCTTAACTATATCTACTAGACATCAGAACAGTTGCACTTTGTCGTCAACTTTACAACCGCACAGCCTCGCTCTTATGTAGGTTTAGATTAGCATCATGTACGAGGAGACTACAAAATTATTCACACTCGGCCGCATATGCCAAGTGTTTTGCTCTCTTCATCCAGTTCAGACCATTTCTGCAGCTCATTTGAAACATCTGCTACGCGCTGATCGTAGAATACATTGCACCCAAAAAGAAACTATGTCAATAGTTAAAGATGACAAACGGAACGAGGGCACAATACAAAAAGAACAATGACGGATTAGAGCAAATTTTACTAGGGTGAAGCTCTTCTCTTTTTTGTTTCTACTCGTCATACGACCCTCAAAAGCTGATGATGTCAGGGAAACGGGAAAACCAAACAAATATTCCTCCTTTCATCTCTGGTCGGGGCTTGTCCAAAATTACAGGCTAGCTAGATGTTTTCAGCCGTTTTCGCAGAGCATAGGCGGATAAAAATGTCAGCTAAACTGTAGAGACGCAGTCACAATAGCGGTGTAGATCATACAGGCAATCCCCGTCGTAATTATCAACATATCTCCTCCTTTTGCCCACTGGGTATTCGCGATACCTTTCCAATGTAGATACGCGGGATAAACATAAATCAAAGGAACACATGAAATGGATCCCACTAAGGCAACAAATTTATCCAAATCTCTGGCGCCCAGGGCTGCAATCAAGCCGCAAAGAACGACAATGCCTGTCCTGAAAATATTCTTTTTCCACCTCATGAGGGGGCCTCGCTGACCAGATTTGCGGTCGAATACTCTTCCCTCCATGATCCGCAAAGCAGGAAAAAGCTGCACTGGGGTGCCCACAAGGACAGCTAGCGAGAAGAACAACCGGACAAAATTGACGAACTTATCCGACTGCGGGAAATTGCTGATGATATTGATCTTTGTATGGCTCCCAAATGCCCCATATGAGAAAATCCCGACGGTAGCAAAAAGAAATGTGATAAGGGCCATGACAATGTAGAGGATGCGACCAAAATGGTCTGGTTGCAACATAGAAGATTGTATGGGGAGAATCAGCCCTATGCCCTCGAACATGAATATAGACGACCCGATCGTCAGAGTGAATGTCTTGGTGTCGAAAAGCTTGACCGTGGGCTCTAGGCCACGGCGGGAAATTTCTGAAAGATCATAGTAGTATATGTAGCCAATGGCGATGAAGATGAAAACATCTGCAAGTAAGGCCACTATTCCGAGTCGGGAGATTTTGCGAATGAAGGCAAGTGGCACGAGGATCACTAACTGCAGGGCGATGATTGCGGAAATGGACGGTGTGTTAATATCATAGGCCGCCACTCCCTCCACAAATGAACGCAGGTTCTCCGCAGTAAAAGCAATGGCGGCACACACGAATCCAAGCTGCGTCATAGTTATGGAAATACGAATAAGGGAGCGAAGATGCGGGCTAGAAATGGATTCTCCAATATCGCCGTAGCCACCGCCATACCTTCGCCGACATTGCAGCAGCAAATGAAAACAGATGGTCGTCGTTATCGAGACTGTGACGAGAGCAAGAGATGAAAATAGTATGCCACCGTTGCGGAACGCCTTAGGGAGGAAAATGATGCCTGTTCCTATGAACGCCTTGAGGAGTGTGAAGAAAGTTTTCGTGTCTGACGCGTCCCCTCGAGAGCTTTCACGATTGGCAAGCAGTGGTCTTCTTTCCCCCTCTACTTCATCCACCGGTGTTCCAGAACTTCCAGCATCTTTCTCATCTTCCGACTCGGCCAGCTCTTCACCGGCGAATCTACCGTATAATTCCAAGAACTCGATGAAGCTATTTGGTGCAGATTTGTTGATGAAGCCGCGCTTATTGCGCCACAAGAACTGCCGGCGAAACGCCCCTGGTTCATTGCGTATCGTGATATCGAGATCAGCGTCCGTTTCCAACCTGGGAGGGTGCGAGAATGTTGCTGCTCGCTGATCTAATCCGCCCCGATTCGAGCGAGCTTCAATACGATAGAGGTCGCGATGTATATCACCTCCTTGCAATTTGAGAGAGGACTGCGGGTTCCCACCATGATCTGCAGTTCGCCTACCCCGCACATCACCATCATTTTCAATGATGCCATCACACGCGCCAGTAAATCGGGGATGCAGATGCCTGGAAATAACTTCTGCTTCGCTGTCGAGGCGGCTTCCTAAGCCTCGGGTATCCGCCATCGTGTTCCAACGATCACGAAAAATCGAACTGATGTTTGTCGCTGAACACTCCTTTATCGGTAGTAACTGAGCGTAGATAGCAAGAATCCTTCTTAAGGTGATGTTGGAAGCGGACCATAGCTGGATTGCTCAGGCATGACGTCATGATTACACCAGTCTCGCTATAGACAGCGAATTTTTTGAGAACAAATCTTGATTTAACGCCCTAATAAGTACTGTGGTAACGATAGTAGTAGTAGTAGTAGTAGTAGTAGTAGTAGTAGTGGGATTCATTTGCCTGATGTAGCTTGCCTTAAGTATAGCCGCTATACGGGGATGCAACTAGGCCTACCCGACAGCGAGAATAGTACGTAGTACCTTGGTGTTTTATACACGGAGAGCCTAGTGGGTTCTCTATAATACAGACCACCTATAGGACGAATATAATAGTGTAGTCCAAACAAGTAAAACAAATGAAACCCTCAGGGGCGGGTGAAAGTCACATAAGAAAAGGGAAAATAGTAAAGAGAGTCAGATCTTCGCCCCGTTATTATAGTCGCGTCCTAATATCCTATATCCTAAGTCCTATTAGCCCCTATGATTAGCGACGCACTATCACTATGCCAAACTCTATCAAGATCCGTTGCGCTAGCTACGCTAGCTACTTTCTAAACCGTCCCCTCTCCGGCTCCCTATGTTACCGAGGCCTTGAATCACTAAGTTCGCTAGTCACGTCTATATTACGTGGCTTCCCTAAATCACGAAGTTCTCGAATCACTAAGTCTACCTCGCCTCAATCAACCAATCAACCAATCAAAATTCTATTAACCTGACGGAGCCTAACTAGTCGCGTCGAGGCTATGCAGGCGCTTCTTCCAAATCGAAGCAGAACTTGGGTCCCAACTCCAGATTCGGCGTTTGCAATAAACAGTCATAGAAAGGAAAATTTGGCCTTCTGCGGAGTAGGAGCCCGGTACATAAAAGTGTGTACCCGATCCCATAGGAAATCAATGCCCAAAAGTGCAAAACATAAAGCCCACAATATTCCACTTCTTCTGCTTCCCCTCGCTCCCGCCCCATTCTTGTTAGTCTGTCCCTAAGTGCTTCTGATCCTCAATTAATCGTGGTGGCGTAGTTAATCAGCAAGTGGTGAGTATCCGGCTTTTCTCTGAGGCTTAGTCTTAGTGTCTAGTGGTGAATGCACGGCGTCTTCACAACCTACTCTATTGCCGCGAGGCCGATTCGTTCGAGGTCACCTTCGTCGACTAGTTCTAGTCCAACGTGTTAGAACTATCTAAGGAGACTAGTGTGATATATCATCGTAGTAGCGTAGCGGGCTACGCGCGGGTGAGATACAATTGCCTCGTATTTAGTCGTGCTACTAAGATTCGTACGAGCGATCTTATCGAGCATGTTTCGTTATAGATCGCTATATAGCGGGCACTAGAGCAGAATATGTCTCTGTGTTTGAACCCCTAATCGCAGCTACAACAATCTAATTCCCCCTCCTTAATCTTATATAAGAAGGGGCCTAGTCTAATACGCATCGACCTCATCTAGAAGTACATAGGCTAGGATCCACTAGAGGGTGATCGATATAGGTGTTTGCCGCGATCAGATAGCTCGTACGTAGTTATAAATGTGATAGAGCACGTACTATCCAGATGGTCACCTCAGGTTCCGCACTAAGTCGATTGCGGCCTAGCTATTAGAGAAGCTCACTAGTTCCCTGACTCTGTCCCCTTCTAATCGATTCATATGCGGATCTAGGGCCATTTCGATACCTAAGAGCTCCGCCGCGTATACATTGGACTAGGAGTCCGTTCCGAGATGTCGTTGCATCGTTGTCACGTTTATTGGATCTACTGCGAATGCACCTGCGAGTCCTATATTTCCACTACCATTATGATGAGGTGGGTGCCTGAGGTGTCAGCGCCCACTGCTGCCTGTAGATAGACCTTTCAACGGCAAGGTACAATGATGGACTAAATAATTGCGGAATTTTGCAGCCCAAAAGTGCAGTAACAACATAAAATTGGCCTTATTGTTCACTATTCTAACACCTCGTAGTGACCAAAGCGTGCAACTTATTGAATATGACTATCATGGGGAACAATAAGCAAGTTTCAGGTAGAGCTTATCGATCCAATCTCCCTTACAGTCCAACAAAGAAATTGCACACGAGGGTTACGTCTTAGTTCGTTGGCACACCGGGAGTTCAATGGAGGCTGGTTAATGGAGGCTGGTTAATGGAGGCTGGTTAATGGAGGCTGGTTAATGGAGGCTGGTTAATGGAGGCTGAGCAAACAGAGAATCAATTGAAGGTGATTCCGACACGAAGTTCCAAGTTGCTTGATTGGTCATAAAAAGGGTTTGTGCTGTATTGGGACAATGGCTCAAGTTGTGACAGGCAGATAAATTGCTATTCTGGATATACTAGGGACATTTCCCTAACATCCCTGTGGAAATTTTTACATAGAAACCTCAACGATAGGGCCCGAATAGATGCGACGGGCACGCAGGATGTAATATACAATGGCAAGGAACATGCTGCCTCCAATTGCCAGGACGCTCCAGTTCATCTCCTCGACGCCAGGGTTCATTTGAGATGGCCAGAAGCTGAAAAAGATGACGATGGTGATGTAAATGATCGCATAACCGTTGATCAACGTACCAACAATACCAGGACAATGGAATGGGCCCCAGACAAGCTTAGCACCGGGCACGTTGACAATGTCATCGTCGTTGTCATTATAGCGGGAGATATTGCCACGGACTCGGCGACTAAAGAGCAAGATTGCAACCATCAGATAAGACAAGTAGATGCCCGACACTGCCATAGATACAACATCCTCCATAGCAGTGTCGGAACCAATGTTAATCAGGGCCAGCAGTGTAGCGACTGTCACTGTGACAATGATGGAATAGATAGGCAATTGCTTGCCGGTAGAAACCTTACGGAGCGGAATGTTAGATCACGAAAGCTTCTGATCGAGGGTTGCTTACCTGACTCCACAATCGCCACCCAGGAACTCCCCTATCTCGGGAGAAAGACCAGAGCTGGCGAGATGCTGCGGCTAGTAGACCCATGAGCGAACAGATGTAGATAATAATCACAATGGCAATCATAATCAAGGAACCAGATACTGAGTTGGTTGCTTCCACGAAGATCCCCATAAAGTTATAACCAGTGATCTCCCCAAGCGTACCACCAAGGTCGGCGCCAGTGCAGAACATCATGGCAATAATCATACCAAAGCCGAGGCAGCCGTTGATTCCAACGCTGAGCATAAGGGCGTTAGGAATAACGCGCGATGCGTTTGCAACCTCTTCAGACATCTATTTTTCGTAATTTGTTAGTCGCATGTATAAAAAAGGGCAAGTAGAACTCAAGAGACTTACATGCACGGCAGCATCACCACCAGCAAAGGCAAAGGCACAGCTGGTCATGCCAACAAACCAGGATAGTCCCTGTGTGGAAAATCCTCCTTCATTCTGGAAAGATAGGAAAACTTGTTCCTTTGTATTATGATCCGCCATATAAACAAGGGGGATCAGGATACCGAAGAAGCCAAGAATATGCACGACCAGTATGATTACTTCAATACGGGGCAATAGCTTCCCCCCTATTAGGTTCACGAGCAATGCGAGACTCAGTGATGCCCAGATAATCAGCGTGCCTTCCCAAGGCAGAGCATTGTAGAGATTGTTTCCGACGATCGCAGCACCCTGGATCATCTTTCCTGTCAAAAAGGCACAAGCAGCGAAGGCGCTTTGCCAGCCGAGAACAGCAAACCAACCTATTTTGCTCAGAGTAAGCAAAGATAGATCACCCAAGATTCAGTATGAATCAAGACTTTACCAGTGACAAAACTAAGGAACTTCTGGAGTCTGGCTGGCCCAAGCATTGCAGCCCAGTGATACTGGCCTCCTGCTGTAGGGGCCCTATTAAACAGTTAGCTCTAGATTTGAGATTGGATTGACCACTAGGAAGCAGCATACATAGAGGCTAACTCCGCCAAGACCATGAAGTTCGCAAATGTACCTACCCATCCGAAGATGTAGGCATAGATCGCACCGCCAGAGCCACCACTGATAGACGTTAGCTAAACTCTAAGACATAAAGATTATGAGGATTGCACAAACTTTGCAAGGGGGGCCGTGAAGGTTCTGGACAAGCAGTTAGCAATAGGATGTTCGAGAATTTATAATTGAACTGGCTCACCCAAGCAAGCCTTCCCATGTACCCAGAATGGTACAGCTGAACCCGAGGATGGAGAGAATGCCGAAGTTTCGCTGATAAGTTACCACTATTAGATCTCTAGACTTATTGGGTTTGTATTCTGAATGATTGTAAATACATACCTTGAGAACTGGCTTCTTTCCCATCCGCTGAAGTTGCGCATCATCACGCTCCCGGACGGACGAGCCGACTTGGGCCTCGCCTCTACTGGTGACGGACGTGTGGCTCTTCAGTTCATAGGCCACCATGGCTTCTCTTTGTTAACGAGTGGAAAAGAGACAGGTGGAAAAATAAAGCCAAGGAAGGGATGAGGGATTCAGCTGGTTAAGAAAAGAAAAGAGGGAAAAACAAAGCATGATCGAAATGCGGGCGGAAAGGGATCCGGGATCCGCATCGATTGGTGCCATGTTACATCGACTAGAATTTCAAACATGCGAGCAACTTGCACTAATTCTGCTAATCCTGGTCGGTTGTATGTCCTCTGCTGGCAGCCCGGCACCCCAAGGAGGCTGAGGCCCACAACGCGTTATGCGGCACCGCCGATCCCACGCGGTAAGGTTTCCATACGAAGCGCCCCTTGGCCAATCGAAAGGCGCCACCAAGATCTGATGTGGGCCGTATATCGCGAATGGCTACCATCCAATTTGAATGTGTTGGTGGAGGGGTGAACCTAAAAAAGTCCTCGATCTGGCCCTTTCTTGTTACAATAGTTATTGAGACTGTAAATGGCAAGTTGCAAAGAGCAAAGACGGACTGTGGAAAACAATTTGGGAAAACAAGAGGATTATACACATGGGGCAGTCAAGAAGGCTAAGAATTCTATCTCCATGGGCAGGTAATCAGGAAGATACGGATTGGAATCCTGGACAATACTACGGTGAGATGAGCGAGCGCCTCTCCGGAACCTTAAGAGAGTAGACTTGGGAGGTGATTCACATTCCTAGTCTTCCATTTTTTGGGGAAATGGAAGTAGCTCAATTAGCCCCTGCAGCTCGCACCGCCAGGCCGCACAGCGATATAATAAAAAAAAATAACGCAGGCGTCCTCGTGTCAGCATGCTTCTTCTCTCCTAATACTTTCGTTTCTTTTTGACACACCCACGCACTCCTTCCCATATCCAGCCTCGATGGGGTCACGATTCAAAGGAGACACCAAAGACCCCGCGGTCAACGTCACAACATGGTTTCTTTTGGTTACGATCGTTTTCAGTGTCTCTGCCCGACTAGGGACTAAATTCCGACTGTTCAAAAAACTCACTCTGGACGATCTTTTGATTATCGCGTCCTTGGTCTTCGGTATCGGTCAGAGTATCGTTATATCGCTGGCAGTTGGATCCGGCTATGGAAAGCATTATAAAGAGGTCTCCAGTGCTGAAGTGGACCAGGTGATGAAAGTATGCATTCTGCGCTCAGGTTTCCCTCGATCAATTCATTCCAGTCACTTCGATCCAAGACTGACAAGGACACACTGGTAGAACCTCTTTGCCGGCTCTCTTCTATACATCCTCAGCCTGATGTTCTCCAAACTATCCCTAGCCGTATTCATCCGGAGTCTTACGCCATCCTCGAAAGACAAGTGGCTCGCCCGAGCGGTTGAAGGAATTATCTATGCCTGGGCGGTTGTTGCAATTTTCGGGACTGCATTCCAATGCTCTGTTCCACGCACGTGGGATTTTTGGGATGGCCAGTGCTTTAATGTGGTCAGTAATGTCCTTCTCAATCCCTACTACCTTCTGGACCACGAAAATAGAGCATGCTAATGAGGCTAAATGGGAATTTGCAGTTGGCATGGCGTTACTTCATTGCTATCTCTAACATTGTTACAGACCTCTTAATCTTCGCCCAGGCGATGATCCTGATCGCTAGCATCCAAACGACCCTAGAACGACGTCTGATATTTGTGGGTATCTTCCTACCCCGGCTTTGGTAAGTGATTCAGATCTCCTTCATGCACACCTTTTTTCAGCTGAAACTCATGGTTCCACCGTCTATAGTGTGGTTGTCGCAACGGTAGTCCAGTTTGCATTTATCAAGAAAGGCACTGAAACAACAGATCCGACCTATACCATGTGCGACATCACAATTTTCGAAGTGATTATCCAGTGTTTGAGCATCGTTACAGCTTGCTGGGGTCAACTAAAACCCTTCCTGTCATGGATGCGATCGAACGGACTCAAACTCGATGGTGTGGAGGACCCCACTTCCTGGAACTACAAGACGAGCACGCGATCGCAGACGCGGTCTAAATCGCGGGACCGCAAGAGCGGGTTCGAGAGCCACGAAATCTTCCCTCTGCCAATGCGGCGAGACCAAATCCTCATAACGCAAGACTGGGAAGTTGACAGCCAGTCGAGCCGGGCGCACATCATCGTGGAGTCCGAGACCAGCCCCTGGACGGGCAACCGTCAACAATCGCCCGACCGTCTAAGTTAATGACTGTACATGTATACGTACACTAGGCACGATCTCGGCGTGCTAGAGTAAACCAGCTTCGAAATTTCATTTGCCACACCCTACTTCTCATCTTGCTTCAAATTGACTTTGCCAAATGGCTTAACCGAACCGCGCCTACCACGGTGCGATGGCACCTAACATCGATAGTGTTTGGCGGCGGAACCTTCCGGTCTCTGACCAACTTAGGCACGCCCCGCATGGCCCTGGCTCCATTTGCGTTCGAGAGATCGGCCTCGTTGCACGCCTAACCGCTGGCTGACCCATCGGACGGCAAAGTATACATAAGTACATGCAACCAATTCACCCAATGACCAATTTCCCTCGTAAACGGATGATAGGTGGATACATGAACCATTGAAACACTTCGATCGGTTCGCACTCTGTCGATGTTCCTCCAAATCTTGTAGGCGCCCCTTCCCACCCCCTACGCACCTTCCGCTGCCTCCAGATACCCTCCAAATCGCCCAAGTCTTGTTTTATTCCACCCCGAACGAGGAACCCCGGTCCCTCCCCCCGGTCCTCACTGCGTTGGGCACGCAGGTTGCATTACTCGTTCATGACACTAGTACCAGTGGGTCGAAAAACCGTCCCCAATCAGCTCAAGATGTCGGCTCCCGTAAATCCGCGTAAATCGTGTTCTACAGTATGTATACTGATGTGAAAAGATCGTCACGTATTGATCATGCTCGAGTGCCCAACTCCCCAGGTCTTTCTTTAGAAACCCCTTCCTTTTCATTCGGAGTTATACTCCCATTGATCCATCTTTCGAAGCTGCAATCTTCCGTTGCACTGGTTCCGCCCCGAAACCTCCAGGTACGAAATTATACTATACAGTATAATTTATAAAAAGACCTTGTCATAGTACTTAAATGGGCATGGACCTCAGAAGAGATACGCCCGACAATCCTAACATTAGTAGGAGATGCTTGGCAGTGGTCTGCTCTGTGAAGCGTATAAGTTCCAATGCTGTACAACCGAACTATGAATCATTGATAGGCTTGGAATTCGAACCCATATGTCAGAACCATTGTGTGTAAAGCAAGACGACCATTCTTCGGTCCCATATGAAGGATCTCTGCACACAATGCAGGTATAGAAGTATGTAATTGAAAGAAAAGTCACTGGGTAAGTATTGATACAGTTCAGAATTCCTCGTCTCCTGAACAAGTCCAGTAATGCCAGTGCTTACCACATTGTCCCGTCCTCAAACGGCCCCCACTTTTTGTTCGCCTAACTATATTAAACGAACATACCCACGCTTACAGATCCCAGTCAATAACCCCTTTGCTCAAGTCTCAAGTGAAGACGCGATCGGCCCGATTCCACAATGGGTTCAACTACCAATTCCCTCGTTCTAGAGCCGGCTACTGCGGAAGATGTCCCCGCCATCACGGAATTATGGTTTGCTGCCTTCACACAGCCGGTGATCGGGCACTTATTCCCAAACACCCCGGGTATGCACCAATGGCACCGGGACTGGCACCTGGGTGACATTCAGACAAAGCCTTTCCAAAAATACCTACGAGTAACTGATGCCGCGTCGAGGGATGAGCAAGGCCGACCGCGGCTAGTTGCCTTTGGTAAATGGGACCTGGCCATGCCTGACGAGCGAGGCCGCCGGTTCCCGCATTGGCATGCGGATTCACCTTACCAAGAATGCGAGGACTTTGTCGATGAGCTAGAGAAGGCAAGGAAGCGTGTGATGGGTGATAAGAAGCATTACTGTATGAATGAGCTCCTTTGAATTGAAATAGTGGGAAAATGTTACTGAATTGACAAATGTGGAAAACAGATCTGGATACCCTCGGCACTCATCCAGATTACCAAGGACGCGGAGCCGGTTCTATGATTGTAAAATGGGGCTGCGATCTGGCTGATAAAGCCGGCGTTTCAGCCTACGTGGACGCCAGCAAGGAGGGCGCAGGGTTATATAAGAAACATGGCTTCGTGGACTACAATCCGCCTGGCTCTGACGTGGCTGCGATGGCTCGCTTTCAAAAGACGGAATGAAGGACACCCAACACCATTGAAGAAATGTCAATAGAGGTATAATGCCTTACACGCTATCTTTCTCTAATCATTAAACTATTGCCTCGGGTCCAATTGCCTCACAAATACTCCAAAAATTTCGTGATGGTCGTTTAAAGAGAACTCCTCAGTCAATTCCTCGGTCCACAATCAGCCTTTGCAAATATAACGATCTGACTCTACGTGAGCCCACGAGCTTTCTAATAATCCGTTGAATACTTACCTCTTTGCTCTCTGCATTGTTGAAGTTTTGCCGGGACTTTGAGAAACCACATAAAGGCGAACATCCACATTCTATCCCCAAACGAGCATAGCCAAACAGCGGACGGCTGTATCAATACTGCCTCGGGCATTGCTAATTCCACCACACCAGCGAACGCCGGGGCAGGAGACCAGCGACGACCATGTAAGAACTGTGAAGACCGGAAATAAACTTTGCTACCAAGTCATTAAATGCCACCGAGCAAGTCAGTCAGACGACGGCGGTCGTCAGTAGAACGGAATATAGGGGAACCGCAGTACCGCCGCGAACCCATGACTTTATAGTAAGCGCCGACGTTCGCGGACATAGTTATATACCCATTTGGTGCCTGCCTAATCCATAATGCCTTTAAAAGAGGCAGGTCTCCCTCCGACTTCTCTGCAGGGTCGCTTCAAGGACACAAAGCCTCTCACTATGTATGAGCGCTGACAGCTTCGGTGTGTACTTCGAGGGTCGCTCAAATGTAGAACCGTCTGCTAAAATGCCGACCACGCCCGCAAAGTACACCATCACTTTTGAAGCTGCTTTGCCGTCCTGGTAGGACTCCATGCAGATGAACTCGTTCCGACTTACATAGAAAAAGTCCAATGCTAGATAATCTTCGACTGACGTCATCGTCCGAAAGTTGGAACTAGACATGTTGTTCCTTGGGTATGATCTTTGTGTGCAGCATTGCAATACTCCTGCAAATAATTGCCAATGGTGATGCGTCGAAGTCGGCCACGAAAGACTGCTGGGAAACCGCGTGGCGAGATCTACGAATGAGTCACGCACCCTGCAGCCACATACGATTCGGGCCAATGTCGGCTGCACCGGTGGGAGATCTCCTATAACATGGAAGCGCGTCGCGTTTGCTGCAAGCCTTCAGCGCTTTGTTGCAGGCTGCATTTAATGGGTCGCTAGCGCTGCATTTCAGATTCTGGATGCGCGACGCGGTTCCTCAGGCCACCTCCCCTCAGCAGGACCACAAACGACCGTTAGGAATGCGTTTCCACAGCGTGAAGTGCGCCGCACTTCAAGATTGCGTTGCATTTCCAGCACGCCACATGTGTGTAGCTCGGTCCTTCGCGAAGTGCGACGCGCTTCAGATGTGCAACCTAGACGTAGGTGGCTCATTTCAAAAAGGCATAATAGAGTAGGTTCGAGATGTGACTAAGCTTCAACTGCTCTAGCATGAGCAGTCTGACCTCGGGCGGGATTATCGAGAAGACGTCGTTGCTGTGGTTCGCGTTACCAAGCTCTTGATCTGTTGGGATGAGTGAGCTTAGACTGGTGTCCGGGCAAGACTCGATAAGCGGACGCGGTAAGGGAACGTTTGCCAGGTTTGCAACTAGATACTCGGTGCCCACTTCATAAGCGTACTATTAGTAGTCTTGAAAGTGCAATGATTGATAGAGAGGGATGAGAGGAGACGGTCACAGGAGAGAAGGGAATGCTGCTGTAGCGAGAAATAGATGAGCGTTGATGAGTTGATGCATTCACTAGTCCTTGACCTCCGTACAGTATCAACCCTTTTTTAACGTACACCTCGGAATCGCGCGTGCCGAATGATCCTCCTCCCCTGATCATCACCACAGCTCTCTCTCTCAGTATACCCAACATGTTCCTCATCTTCTTGTCGGTGTACACAAGATTGTTCAAACAGACTCGATGTGGTCGCTCTCGTTCTTGGTCTTGATGAAGTCCCGAGACGGAGACGATGGCCGATGAGCCTGGATGTATGCCGCTTCGCCCGCCGCGATATTCTCGGGGAGGGGTGGAATACCGTTCGGTGGAAAGAGCTTCTTGGCTCGCCAGGCCGCATGCTGCATCTTGCCCGAGAACAAAGCCTTGCAACTCTCGATGGGCACTGCCTTGGTCTCGGGAACCCAAACGAAGGTGAATACGCTTTACCAACGTCAGCTCCCACCCCCGATGCAGCCACTTTTGATGAAACGGCCAAAACTTACGCGGTCAAGAAACAGAGCGCTGAAAAGAAAAAGAATGTTCCGTTTGCGTCGACGATAGAGTCGATCATGTACGGGAAGACCAATGTGAGGATGAACTAATCACGCATGGTCAGCCCGAGACAAGTACTGTTGCAAGCAAGGGGGATGACATACACTAAAGAGCCACTGCAGAGAGGCGGCAAAGGCACCGGTGATGGGCCTGAGTCGGGCTGGGAAGATCTCTGCGGCGACGATCCATCTGATCGATGTCAGCTTAATCGCTTCGCCACGACAAGAAGTTGACAGGCATACGGTAGACCGTTCCCTCCAAAACTCCAGACTATGTCGTTGTCAGCTGAATGCAACCGGTGGAAACCAGGGAGGAGGATGCGGGGACATACAGATTCCGTAAAGCATCACCATCGTGGTTGCGCCGGTACCGGCGCCATGGACAGAGGCAGAAGGAGTGCCTAGGGTTGTATCGGCCACCGTTGTAAAGATTGCAATGTACAAGAGTGTCAGGGAGCATGCCGAGGCGGAGATCAGCCAGGGGATTCGACGTCCACTGCGATCCACCTGAGCGTTGCGTCAGTCGGGTGGGGAAGGGGCAAAGCTGGCGTTCCGGTCGACTCACGATAAAGGCATAAAAGGCAATAGCTGCGACCGACCGGCAGACTCCATAGATGCCAGTGTATAGCGCCACGTCGCTGATGAGGAGCGACTCAAAAAGGATCGGAGAATAGTAGCTGGCATATCAGCAACGCGTCCTCTGGACCCCTCAACCATGGGAGCATATCTCACTTGATGCAGATGGAGCCGGACCAGTTCTGGAACATAAACATTCCAACAATTACGGCGCTGAGCGGTGGTCAGCACGCGCCAAAGTTTTTCTGAGCGGGGAACGTACAGCCGGTATCGCATACTCGAAGACTTCATTTCGGCCGTGGAACCACGCAGTAGAGCCACCCAGCCTGTCCGGCCGCCGGATAGCCGTTCTTCCTCCTCCAGCCTGGCCTCGATTCTGCCAACTTCTTCCAGCATATATTGATTGTCGGCGGGGAGTTGGCGAAGATAGCAGAGGTTCTTGATCGCTTGTTCCCTTTTACCCTTTCGCCAGAGCAAAGTAGGCGACTCTCGAAGGATAAGCGTTCCCAAGGCCAAAGCACCTCCGGGGATGAGTTGAAAAGCCACGGGAATGCGGAATGTGATCACCGCGTCGACCCCCATGTGTTGTTGGATCCCGTAGTTGATCCAGAACCCGACCATGGAGCTGGAAGCAATGTGAGCCGCGTGTCACCACCTTTACAAGCTGTGAAGTGCACTGACCCGACCTGGTACGCTACCTATAGAATAAAGGGGGAGGTAAGCACAGCACATCTTGACAGTAGAGACGTATACATACGTCGAAATACCTGGATCGTCAGCGCATGGCTCTATTTGTCGCGTTAGGCGCCAAGAAGCAAGGACTCACCCAGTTAACTGTCCACGGATGGCAGTGGGAGCTACCTCGGCAATGTAGGACGGGATAATACCCGTCAAGGCACCCACGCCAAAGCCAGTCAAGACTCGACCCGCATACATCATTGGCAAGCTCGAGGTCGCAGCTGTCATAAGAATAGCACCGACCAGAAAGACAGTGCAGGTGACCTGCATTGCCCGGATCCGGCCAAGCGTCTCGCTGGACGGCCAGGCAAAGAGCGATCCGAAGAAACCTGCAGCGAGGTAGGCCGAGGTAAGGTTTGACGTGTTGGATGTCCTGGCAGAGGCGGACATGTCCGTGAAGCCGAAATGCTGAAGCGTGTCAGCCGGGAGGGTAGAGGAGCTTCACCTGCATGCTGTCGATTTACCTCCTGGAAGCTGGCCCGGGCAAGCGTCGTTCCCCAGAATGAGCCATCGTAACCCTGATGACAAGAGCTTAGCCTGTTGACCCATGATACAAAGATCGCCGTGAACCCACAAACGTGAGAGCTCCAAACGACGCCACGATTGCAAATGTGTAGATTCGCCAATTATAGACCTCGGCTGCACATCACACAGTCAGCACTGATATGACATCTCTCAAGCAGATTGGTAAGACTGACGAGGTGTTGGGCGGTCTTCGACTATGCCAAATCCCATCTTGATTGATGCTCGAATCGATAGTGTTTAAAGGCCCGTTCTGAAAGTTCGGGAAATAGTTATTTATGATGGTCAGGGTGGTCTGGGCCTAGTTGCCAAGGCGTCTTCGGCTTCGATTCGGACCGACCGATTGTCGGCCCGGTCAGATAACATCAGCGCAAAGTCGTGGTGCTTCTGGCCGTAAAGGTCACAATAACGCGCAGATTTATGTTTAGAGGTATTCTAGCAATATCTACGGTGCCAAACGGGTGTTGACCAGGGAATATAACCTCCTGCCATTCTTGTCCCGGGCCTCGTCCCAGGTTATTACGAGCCCGGTGACGCTTCTCCAAACTCCTGCCTTGGCTTTGACTTGTACAAAGCTGATCCGGATAGTAAGCCTTCTAGACTCCCACGCCGCTACGCCTGGACTGCGGCCTAGCAGACCTACGAGGCAAGGTCGACGCGTTTGTTCACCGTGGCTATGAGCTGAGCGGGGGAATCACGAGTGAAGAGAATAGCCGCACAGTCAAGTGATCCTCGGCCTGGCCTAATGTGATCGCCGCAACAGCAACAGGAACGATGACGATCATGTATACATATGTTCAATTTCTGGCAGTATGCTCTATCAGTCCCTGCTAATCTACTGGCTCTTTTCGAACCCTTCTGCTAAGACTTTCAGAATGTTGCTCAGCATGCTAATATCCTCCCGAGCTGAGAATGAAGTCAGCCTGCTGCTCTAGCTGTGTCTGCTCTACTACTCACAGTCCAGCACGGTAGTCTTGATTTCTGCGTCGCCGCTCAGGCAGCGATGCAGCTCTTTGAACATTAACGTGTAGTAGTCTTCGTATGTCGGCCGGATCGTCTCTTCAGAAAAGTCCCCGTTGGGGTGCCTGGAGAGCGTAGTCGCGGTGATTGGCAAACCTTTGATATACGGCCTAGACCTTAGCAATCCAGTTGACTGGGTTAATGGGATGGGAGACTCACGAGTCAAAGGCGAGCTTGAGTCGCTGGTACTGAGCCAGGACCTCGACGGTCGCGTCCACAGACAAGACCGCATCCTCGCCAGACTAGGGCGGTCAGGATATTGAACGCGTTGCACACGATTTTGATACTATGCGTTAGACTCACCTCATACGCAAGAACAAAGCCGTCGCTACGAGTAATGATTAGTACTGGGCCCGGCTCCATGGCCTGGCTTGGGGATTAACTAACTACTGCAGCATAATGGACAAAAAGTTCCCTCGAGCACTTGGCACGGCTGCAATGACATGGCGAGGAAGACCAAACAGCTCTCGCATGAGGCTTAGGTCATGCGGGGAGATGTGGAACTTGCAAGCCCGAATGTACTGCGCGACTGGCGAATTGTAGTCGAGGCCCGTGTACTCCTCGAATTGGCTCGTGGCGACTTGACGCCTCTTCGCCGAAGCCTCCTCAGGGATATCTGGACTCGGTGAGCGGACCGAGCATACAAGTTGGGGCATTCGGAGAGACTTGCCTGAGAAACGTTGTGAGTAGGTGCCGCTTTGTGAGATAATCCCGTCCTTGACCTACAGAAGCTCATTAGTGTCGAAACCATTGGCATCGAGTGAACATTACTCACCCTCGATGTAAAGTTGCGGAACCGGACTGGAGCAATCAGCAATGTTTCTAGCCCTAAAATAGTGCCCTACCATAGTTGATCTGGGCTGGATCCAGTTTGCCCACGGCCTCCTTAAACCTCAAGAACGCGGTCGCATATCGTCTCATGTAGCCGACAAAGACCAACCTGCCGGAAGCGAGGCGTGCGGCCTCGATATCGTCCGCTTCTCGCAAGGTCTGAGCCATCGGCTTTTCGATAAAGAGATGCTTGCCGGCTTTCAGACACTGTACTGCGTGTACGCTCTGGCTTTATATGAGCTAGTATTTGGGAGACGTCCAGCCGGTAATCTCCTTACGTGGAACTCGCTGAATGTTGAGCTCAGTATCAGCAATCGCGCATACTCGACATCATTCGGGAAGGGCAACTCACTCGGAATGACAGATCAATACCATATCCACGTCGGAGCACGCTGCCAGCATTTCCGGCCTGTTGAAGACGTGAGCACCCGGGGCATGCCTCAAATTTGACCCGACCTACACGTCTGTGAAGGTGCGGGAGATGTTGAACTTTCGCGCACAGTGCTCCACGGCTTGCTTCGAAACATCCACTATTGCCGTGACCTCGTACATGTGCGAAAGGAAGCCGAGGGTAGGCAGCTAGAGGCCGGATTCAGCTGGACAGTTGCGACTGCACACAAGACATGGGGAGCCTCACATGTGTGCACATTGCGATCTCTCCCGCACCGATGACCTGCGCTAAGTGAGCTGGCCAGTCGACCGTGTCTGCCGCGATGACCTACAGCGACATTGATAACGCGACTCGTGGACATGTTGACGCAGAGGGCTGCCGTTGATATTTCGTACGCGTGAGCAAGCTGTCGAGTTGGGCTGTTCACAAATGGCAGAATGACTGATTCCCTTCGGGATCAAGATGTGTATCAAGCAAGTTCATGTGGATGAGATTATCAAAGTCCGACAGCTCCGCACTGTCGGCCCGAGCCGAGATAAGGCATGGAGAATATCGGAGAGATTCCGGTCTGCCCCTCAGCTACAGGTTTGTTGCTTCCCGCGGCATCAACCGATCTGACAGCACCTTTCCTCGCGGACTTGATCTAGTAGAATGGAATACCCAGGCTTTCCTACACCAGATCATCACCTATACTTGCATTAACTATGCGAATCGCTATTTTCGATGTCGGCCCCGCACTGTCGGCCCGATGCCGAGATAAGGCATGGAGAATATCGGAGAGATCCCGGTCTGCCCCTCAGCTACAGTTTTGTTGCTTCCCGCGGCATCAACCGGTCCGATAGCACCTCTCCTCGCGGATTTGATCTAGTCGAATGGAATACCCAGGCTTTGCTATACACCAGATCATCACCTGTACTTGCATCAACGATGCGAATCGCCATTTTCGATGTCGGCCATTGGCATTTTCCGCTCTACATTCCCGTCTTGACCGATCCTGGCATCACTCTCGTTGGCATCTGCGATGGCGAGGGGTTTGCGGGTCCCGAAATGGCTCACCGGCTCGACTGCCCGCTGCTGTCGCGCGACGAATTGCTCGATCTTGACTTTGACTTCGCGATGATCTTCAGCCGGCACTCCGAGATGGCGGCGACCGCCCGAATGGTCATCGGCAAAGGACGGCCCTTCCTTATTGAAAAGCCCTGTGGGCTGAACACAGCCGAGGTTGCTGCGCTGCGTCTAGCAGCGGACAAGGCTGGCCTCTTTATCGCCGTCCCGTTTGTCCTGCGCGTGAGCGACTTGGCGCGCGAGCTCAGTCAGAGTGGATCGCTGTCGCCTGCTGGCTACCGACATCTGTCGTTTCGCTTCATTGTCGGATCGTCCACTCGATACGAAACGAATGGGTGCAAGTGGATGCTTGCCAAAGCCACGGCTGGCGGTGGATCCGTCCTCAACGTCGGTGTGCACTTTTTCGATCTCCTAGAATCGCTGACCGAAAGTCGAATCATCTCGGTCACGGCGCAAACGAGGACATTCCGCAAAGACATCGACATCGACGAATTAGCCATGTTTACAGTAACCATGGCGTCTGGCCAGATCGCCCATGTCCACACGGGATACCTGTACCCTGGCACGCCCGATGATCAGCGCGAGTTCGGCTTTTCGGTCTCTCACGATGCTGCACATCTCCAGGGATTTGCCGACCAGATCGTTGTAAAATCCGCCGACGGCGCGCTGCGGCATACGACTGTCGAGTACAACACCGATCAGTTCTATCCCGTCTTTTTCCGCGACACGCTCGCGCGTTGCCGCGCAGGCCGGCCGCCGCTTGTCGGTCTTGAGGGGCGCTGCGCGCATTGTCGGTCGTTGAGGCGGGATATCGTTCAGCCGAGCAGGGTGGCGCTCCGGTTGCGGTACCGCTGGTTTAGGCGAAGCCGTCCTTCGAGACGTCGGCGGGCTGGCGAAGTTGAGAATCAAGTTACTACACCAGAACGCCAGGTCGCGCTTGTAGCTAAGAATGTAGTTTGAAAATAGCTCCAGGTGTCAGACAATGTAGCACGATCGTTGTCGCAAGATTGTACTCTGCTTGATCGTCTTGCCAGGCTTCAGTGCTTGTTGCGTTACCTATAGACGCGGCCTTGACTCCATCTTCATACGTCAGAGGAATGCAGAATGGTGGATGCCGCTACATCAGGGGAATGCAAAAGGGTACAGGTCGCCTCGAGCGCTTGACGATAGATAGCAACAAGGGTGCCGCATGCTGTAGTCAAATCCGCGAGCACGGTACCGATGATTGCATACATGTACTGTATGCATGTATGCAGAGTAGCAATCCCACGCGCTCACCTCCGTCGTCTCTGTCTGGCCTTCACTCCGCAGCGAAAGCCAACTTCAAGCATAACCATTAGTCTTGCCGTTCGTCTTGCTCTTCGACTTTCCGGCATAACCCTCCTTCTCTAACTGTGGGCGATAATATCGCTGCACTCTTGCTCGACATGCTGGCTCGTTATAGAAGAGGCGCAGTCGGAATGTCCGAAAATACTCAAGCGATAAAGTCCCCTCCCCCACTCGTAGTGGGCGAAATTCGGCATCGGGCCGATTCCGCGGCTAGCCGCGCCGATCAGTTTGTTAATGTCTGGCATCATGACGTGCGTATAGATGCGCGAAACACCGCTGCCCTGCATCTCAGGTCGGACATTTGGGACGGTATGGGAGAGCGGATGTCGTGGACTGGGGCTGTCCTGCACGACTGAGATACGAAGGGGAATAGGCTGAGGGGTTTTGGGACTACGTATGACCGCGGCGGCCACGTGCACATCGCACCGTCCACGTATATTGTAGCGTCGCAATGCAAACGACCCACGGAAGAGAACTGGTCCGCCGACATGGGTCCCGACGTCAGACAGATCCTTCCCCGGTTCCAAAGATCATATTCCACCAAGGCGTTGTAGGTTGAGTGAAGGACCCCAGATTCCCCAGAGCCGGTTCGAGCCACTCCGTATCCTGCGCCACACCACCACCCGACAGGCCGAGCACGCAGCTCAAGTCGAAGGGATCATGTCCCGCCCAGAACGTATCGGCGTCGTAGAGTCCGCCGTCGCCTGCACCATCCGCGCTTACCAGCGACGTTGACTGCTCGGGTACATGAGGCTGATCTCCTAGTCCGTCCCCAGCCACACCGGCTGTGGTCGTGGAATCGTCAGGACGGATAGCGAGTCCTGCGGCACGCGAAATTCCTCGGATAGTCCGTGCAAAGTAGGTCGACAAGCGCGTTTCCGACATGTCGCCCAGTTCGAGCAGGTCGACCGACATGGTGAGGTAATGGCTGACGACCGCGGGGTCGAGCGAGACTACCTCCTGGACGAGGGGGGATGCCTTTGTCAAGCGGATCAGAAAGACTGCAGCTTGGGCAAAGGCCATGGTCATGTACTATAATCATGTAGTCAGCAAGGAGCCTGTATGATATTCGGACTACGGCAAGGCACGACGACGCTATGAGGGGACGATAGCCTGCGGAGGAGGGAGATGAGGTGGGCAGGGAAGAGCGCTTACTCACGTCCGTAGCAAAGCTCAGAGCGATATCGGTCTGACTCGATTCGAAATGTGTTTGGATAGTGCTCTTCGCTGCGTTGAGCGCTTTGCGAAGGTATGTGACGCTGCTCTCGTGACCGTCGCTGTGGGTCGACGAGCGGAGAGCCATGGCATTGATGCTCAGGCGAAGGTGCTCGGCCTGCAGTCGGGCTATACGTGCTGACGCGCCGAGATAAAGCGCATGGGACGATCCTGTTACGTCAGCCTGATACCACGACAGACCTCCCGGCATCTTTCCCCTCTCAAGTGCCCAGTCTCCGCACGAAACGACACTCGAGAGGTGGGAGGAAGAGACGTACCGGACCAGACCCAGAGCTTGCACCAGTCGTCCAACCTTCCGTTCAGATTCGACAACATCGACAACAAAGACTGGCCGTTCGGAGACCCAACTGGCGCTTGCTCCTCTACCCACAAGACGAATGATCGAGCGATATGACCCAATCGAGCCGTCGCTGCAATATACGCGTCGCCATATAGCGACAAGCTGGCTGGAGTGCCTGGCCGGGGGAGCGGATGAGATAAGCGGGCTTTGAGGAAAGCTTGGTCGTCAATGGACTCGAACTGGGTTGATTGAGGTCGACCGAACCCGAATGAAAGGAAGGAATCGAAGCTGCACCGAGTCAGTCATTCACGCGCGTGTCTCGTATCCGATCAGATATCAACAGGACCCAGGAGAGGGATGTACCTGAACCAAGCCAGCCTGTAAGAAACGATGTCAGCGGGCGCCCGTCCACGGAAACTATATGTTCCTTCCCAAAGGGTAGTCCGGTCAGAGTAGCCACTTACCACGTCCTCCATTGTCGCCGCACGGCCGCATCCACCTCATCAACCGGAGCCTCGAGCTGTGAGCCGTCCCTCTTGGTAGCAGCCACAGCCTGCCCAACGGCCCGATGTATCCCCAGCCTCCTAGACACACGCGCCGCATGCCCCGTCAAGACCCACGCGTCTGGCCCCTTTCCACCACTCTGTAATCCCCAAGCCGCAAGCAGCAAGATGGCCTGCACGTCGGCCAAGGTATGCTTTTTCCGGAGCAAGGTATGGGCGAGGTGAGATTCGGCTATATCGGCGAGGGCCGCTGGGACATAAGAGTCGATAGTGTGCGATGTGGTCGAGTGACGGAGGTAGAACCGGGCGGAGATTGCCAAGATTGCGGAGAAGAGTGATGGATAGCGCTGGACTGAGGTAAATGGGTCGGGAAGGGTGATGTCGACAATGGGCAAAAAGGGGTGGCAGTGATTCATAAAACTAGGGCCCAAACGTCAGCGGCGTGGTCGCTCATGAAGTTGGGAAGGTGGAGAGAGGGGCGCCGGATCACTGACAATGTGTACAAGGTTCTGGCCGTGTCAAGGTCGATCACACCCGAGGTGACTGGTTCGTCTCGTACGCCCCATAGTGGCATGCGCGCAGGGTGCACTGGTTCATCAGGGAGAGGCGAGCTCCGCTTTGATCCTTCCCGGTTCTCCCAGACCGATGGCTTGGCCGAGTCAGCGACTACCACCCTTCACACAGGAAGACGGGTCGGACAGACTTACCTGGTATACCAGCGCCTGAAATGGGGGCTCAAATCCATCCCTGGTGGCCGAAGCCAGCCTCTCCTTGGCCTCCTCCTCGTTATCCTTGTGCTTTCCGCTCCCCCCTGCGCCGTATTCTCTTGATGGCGATATTGTCTCGGGTCGGCTGGAATAGGAATGCGGCGAGATCAAGTTGACTTCTGGCGAATTGCCAAACCTCACCTGCCCTAGCCCCTGGGTCATTGGAGGACCGGACGTGGAGAGCAGAGCAGGTGTAGCAGCAGGAGCAGGAGCCGTGACGGGGGCTACCACTGGAGCGGCGAGCGGGGCTATAGATGGAGCTGTAGCAGGAGTCCGGGCCGGAGCTGCGGTAGGAGCAGGCAGAAGATCGGTCCCGCTGGCGCCGGGCTCGTGTAGACCAGCCAACGGGTTGGCGACGCGGCTTTCCAGGTACTCCAATCTAGCTCTAGCCGCCACCCCATCTCCATCCTCAACCACCTTCCCGTTCGTGGTTGTGCTTGAGTTCGGGGCGGCGGACGCTTGTCCCGGTTTGCCGAAATCACATTCTTTCTTCGCCTTGACGCATCTTACGCATGGCCGGCCACCAAGACAGCGTAGCTTCTGTTTGCGACATCGAAAGCATGCCTGCATCGCTCTACGCTCTTGTTGATGCTGTTGTTCGTGTTGTTGTGCAGTGCCAAAGGTGACATTCGGAGGGTGAGCGATGTTGCCCGCGTTCCCTTTGCCGAAATCACATTCTTTGTTCGCCTTGACGCATCTTACGCATGGCCGGCCACCAAGACAGCGTAGCTTTTGTTTGCGACATCGAAAGCATGCCTGCATCGCTCTACGCTCTTGTGTTCGCGCCCTCTTGCTTCTCGGGGGCTCGCCTCGATCGTCGTCACCGTCACCACGCACTCGAGCAAGGTCCGACGCGTCGTCGCCATCTGCCGAGCAGGGACGCGCGGGTGACAACATGCTGATCAACTCTGTACTGATAGGCATGTGATTGATGAAAACCCAGAACTTCCTGCTCAAGCACAAAGCCGCGCTCAGGCACTTGCACCTCGTGGACGTGAGGCACTAGGCGGGGAAGGTAGACATCCGGAGGTGTGACGTGTTAAGTCTAATGACCTAAGTGATGAAACTCCACCCGTATCTTCTTACTGGGGAGCACGGATTGGTGGAAGACGACCCACAAGCCCAAACTGGGACGAGATGCTGGAATGGGATGAAACTGATCGAACAGAAGACTTCACTCCTGGCACGCCGTATTGGGAGCAGACTGGCAATGACTTGTCGAATGTAGAAACCGTATTCCTAATCAGGAAGTAGTGGAAATGGATAATGTCAATTCATAAGGAAGATAGTGTTACAGATTGGACCAGTTTTGAGGTTATTCGGGATTGATATCATGTGACCTGCTTACATACACTTACCCCGCTTTTGGGGAATTGATCAGGGGAGCCGGGGCTCGCAGTTGAACGTGGCCCGAAATTAAGTGCGCGTGGCCCGGAATTTTTCTTAGTCATACACGCTCGTTTCAGGCCACGCTCAGGGGTGGGAGTTGACCATGGCCCGAAACTAGCGCCGATTTATGAAATTTTACTCTAATAGCTTGACTAAGTTAGCTTAGTCACTAACGTAATCGGTAATGCGAGCGCCGCACTAAATCGCGTCGCGCCCCAACGCGTCAACTTCACCATTTTAACTATCCACCATGCCCCCAAATCGCAATCAAAATTCCCAAAATTCTGTCAATCAAGAGGGTAGAATTCAGCTTGCAATAGAAGCCTACCAGAATGCCGAAATTCCCTCTAGTCGCGGAACTGCACGCGTATTTGACGTACCTGAGCGAACCCTACGTTGTCGGCTCGCAGGCGTACCATTTCGACAAGTTACGCACGCAAATAGTCATAAATTGACTCCTGAAGAAGATCAATCACTCCTACAATGGATTCTATCTATGGAGATGCGCGGATCTGCCCCTAGACCATCAATGGTTAGGGATATGGCTAATATTCTACTACGGGAGCGTAATGGTCAGCCTGTTGGGACTAGATGGGTCTACAACTGTACCAACCGCCATCCAGAGCTCAAATCGCGCTATTCTCGACAGTATAATTTATAATTACCAAAGAGCTTTATGCGAAGATCCGCGCATTATTGAGCCAGGGTTTGACCTTGTACGACGCACAATTTACGAAAACAGTATCGAAACGGAGGATATCTACAATTTTGACGAAACAGGTTTTGCAATGGGCCTAATTGCGACTAATAAAGTCATCACAAGAGCTGAATAGTACGGTCGGAGGCCTGTCCTACAGCTAGGGAACCGCGAATGGGTCACATCAATTGAATGTATAGGTGCGACGGGATTTGTGCTCCCTCCGATGGTCATCTTCAAGTCATCAGTATACTAACGATATGCATGGTACGATGACCTACCTAGGGGCTGGCGAATTGACATTAGCGTCAATGGGTGGACTACAGATGAGCTTGGGCTACGATGGCTAGAAAAGCAATTTATTCCTCATACGACTAGTCGTACTAAGGGTAAATTTCGACTGCTTATTCTAGACGGCCATGGTAGTAACTTAGCGCCTGATTTTGATCGAGTATGCGCTGAAAACGACATTATTCCAATTTGCATGCCTCCGCATTCGTCGCATCTATTACAGCCTCTAGATGTAGGCTGTTTTGCCCCCCTAAAGCGCATATATGGGGGGGCTAATTGAAGCCAAAACTAGAGTAGGTGCCAACGATATCGACAAGCTTGATTTCATTATGGCATTTCCAAATGCACGCATACAAGCGTTTAAACTATCAACTATCCAAATCGCTTTCGAAGCAGCTGGTTTAGTGACATATAATCCAAATCAGATTATGGAGAAGTTTAGTATTCGACTTCGGATGCCACCCCTCCCAGGCAGTGGATCAGGCAGCAGACCGGGCACATGGAGCCCTAAAACGCCAGCAAATCCTAAACAATTGAAACGACAAGCTTCATCAACCAAAACTATGATTAGTCGTCAATTACAGAGTCCGCCTACTCCAACAGATAGGGCGTTCAATCAGCTAGATATTTTCTTGGTTTTCGCCTAATCTAGTCAGTTTGTTTACATTATCTGAAACGTTTTGATCTATTAGGTTCTACTGTTTTATTCGTTTGTTTACCTAGTTGTTTACGCGCCTAGGGTCAGCCGCCTCAGGAGGGGGCGTAATTGTTATAGATTGGGCTTGATCGTGAGGTTATTCGGGATTTATATCATGCGACGTCATATGTTGCTCACGTGTATTTACCCCGCTTTAGGGTTATAAGTTCAAACGAACTATGGTTTTTGGGCTGATTCTATTAAGAATCAGTGTGTCTTTGTTCCCACTAAACCGCTCCCATCTCGGCTCCATTTCGCTATCGTATCGCTCCCTTTTCGGAACATCATTCTTCACCTGACCAATAGGTTTCTACCCTGACAAGTGGTTCTTTTACAGCTACTGCATACACGGAAAATGTATGGGCAAATTAGACCGAAAACATTCGTTTTGAACTTCTGACGACTAAATATCAGATTACATTCAATTCCCTCGTGTATAATCCGAAAGATAGACTATCTGTGTCCATCATGAATACCATAGCGATCTGACTGGTCTTGAACCGGGCAATATGTGATATAGTCAAAGACCGCGGGCTGTGCTAAACCATTTAGGTCCGAGCATGCAACCCCCACAAAAGATCCAGTAAAGCTTCCATGATCTGGGTGTCCACCACATTCGTCCGAAACGATAGACGCATCAAGCGCGGGCCCAATCTCCGTTAAAGTACCTCGTTCTTCTGCATACAGGAATTGTAGAATGCTACCGCGGACTCTCACAGCTAGCTTCACCTTGCCTTCGTTGGCAATCTGAACTGGAGTCGGAGCTGGGAATGAAATATTACCATCAGGATAGGACATTTCGGAGCTCATGATGAGCAGCTCCCGCTCTCCATCTGAATGTGCCGTCACAGTAAGATAAAAGAAATTGTAACGGCAGTAGTAAACCGTCAAGCCCGCATACTGACGCTCATCTTCGGGAGAGAAGTCGATAGTTGTCTCTGCATCAAATGAGAAGTGGCTTTGCCGGCGAGCCACCAAGGCTTGTTCAAACCATGAACCCACAGACTCTCGCCCAAACAGGGTCAATCTACCGTCTGTTGTGCAGAAAATACGTCCTGGCTCTGGCGTTCGCAGCCATTGGAAATCTTTGTGTAATCCGTCCTTAAATGTGTATCGCTTCTCCGCCCAGTAGCTGGAGTCCTCTCGCGCCCCTGGAATATTGACATCAAGGGATGGCACGGGGCCATCCTTAACATAAAGCCAATCGTCATCTCCCCAGTACGCCTCCTGTATCGCCGTTTCCCGCCCAAGGACACAGCGCCGTCGCTGACCAACAGGCCTCCCAGTGAGATGAACGACATACGTTCTCCCGTCTGAGGTTTCCACGATGTCTCCATGACCGGCTCTTTGCAGTGCAGCGAAAGGTGAATCTTTGGAAGTGATGATGTGTTTTTGTGGGTGCAATTCATATGGACCCCAGATGTCTCGTGAACGTGCAAGAGTACACGCATGATCATAGCCTGTTCCACCCTCCGCAGTCAACAAATAATACCAACCGTTACGCTTGTAAAGATGTGGGGCTTCCACGAGTGAGAGGTCTGTGCCTTGAAAGATGTTTTTTCTTGGACCGACCAGCTTGCCCTCAATAGCGTCAAATTCTTGGAGAACAATACCAGCAAACAACAGCGGCCGCCGTCTATGATCCCACGTCATATTCACAAACCACTTACGACCGTCTTCGTCGTGGAAAAGAGAAGGGTCAAATCCTGAAGAATTGGCAAAGACAGGGTCAGACCATGGTCCCTCGATGGCTGTTGCATGAATGATATAGTTATGAGCGTCCTTGAACGATCCATCCTTGCGCTTGACATCCGTATAAACGAGCCAGAATTTGTCACCATCGTGCGTCAAGCAAGGTGCCCAGATCCCGCAACTGTCGGGTTCACCGCGGAGATCGATATGGCTCGCTCGTGAAAGGGGACGTGTTATAAGCTCCCAATTAGCCAGGTCCTTGGAGTGGTGAATTTGCACTCCAGGAAGCCATTCGAAGGTGGACGTCGCAATGTAATAGTCTTCCCCAACCCTCAAAATGGACGGATCCGGGTTGAACCCTGGGAGAATTGGATTACGGACAAGAGGCATATTGGCTTGGTGAGGTGTCGTTCGGGTGCCACTGGCACTGGGAAGTTCTGCTCTTATTCAGGTTTCTGAAAACCAGGACACGTTGCATTGAACAATAGCATTTTAACCGGGCATTTAGCCGCCACAGCGGAGAAAATGAAATATGTGGGGTGCCGGGGTGGGTACATCAGCTAGCACAGAACTTCCCAGCGGGGATACGACAACCCACCCCATACTTGTCGACTTTTCCGGTCCCGCACACTAGCTCAATTTCATTTAGTGGCTAGAGTATATCCGCGGCCATAGCTTTTCTAGTATAGCCGCCCTAGCCGCCCTTCTAGACCGTATAAGGGAACCGACCTTAATACTCTTCGAATCTAGCGTCGAGCGGCTCGTTAAAGCCGCCTTCTACTCTATTACCACGTATCGTATTAACGAGTTCGATTAACTACGTATTAATACCTTCCTACGGAGAGAGGGGATCTAGAGTCGGCCGATTGAAATCTATCTTAGGTAGTCTATATACCGCTAGTACCGATAGGTCTAGGTTCGATTAATTAGCTTTGCCTATCGCACTAGCCGCCTAGGGGGCTAGGCAGTCTACGTCACTAGTTGAACATACCCTAACTAGATACACTTGATTAGATAGAAGCATACACCTAGCAATATCTCGTATAGGATCGCATACTACCTACTAGCCGACTAGCCCATAGTGTTACAGGTTGACCCTGTAACACGCGCTACGTAGCGTACGTAGCTGTTGTCCTGTCTCTGTCTGCTTGATTACTCAGCATCTATCCTGTACTTAGTCTGTTTACCCCTGATCTGGTAGTTCCCCTCTTGAGCAATTCCATCTTGTATCCTGGGAGCTGACAGCTATTGTCGTACGTCTGTTAAGACACGACAAACCCTAACACATAGCATCGGCGCTAAGCAAAAGATGCCTTAGTAGCATTCATCCGACTATCTCCAAGGACAACTTGACTAGGCGACGCTTAGCCTATCGATCGCTCTTCTAGACTATAAACTTAAGGGGGATATCTTTAAGAGCGTGGTTATCGGATTCATAGCCGCACTTAGGGTCGATAGGGCTAAGCATACATATAAGGATCTAGCTAGCTATACCACTTATGTTATAGGACCTTCGTACGAAGTCCTGATATTGTTATACTCAGCTGAAGCTTCGTGACTGTTGACCGCCTTTTCGTTCTGCCATGTTTACCCACGCATCTTGTTTCCCCTTTCTTCCCCTTTTCTTTCTTCCTTTCTTTAATGAATCCTTCTTGTGTATAGGACATACCATCAATTGACACAATTTGGTCTGATCCCTAACATTAGGATTCATTCTCAATTCACGAGCTAGTCAGGTGCCCTACTAGCTATATACCAACCACGATACCGACCGTACGACGCATTAGAGAGGCGACCTCCCAACCATGATAACGAACGCCCAACCCCCACGGCCTACATACCCTGATGTAGACTAGTATGATGGAAGTGACCCGAACGGTTATGCGGTGTTCCGTACGAACCTAAAGGTCAAGTTCGTAATGGATCAACACTACTTCTAAACTAAGGAAGCGAAAGTCTACTACGCATTTAGACGGCTTAAGGGGCTAGCAAGCCAACGTGTACACCCATGGATCCTTGCTAAGGAAGAAGCAGGAGAACCCTACACGCTAAATGACTTTTACAAAGTCATGGATCTCCATTTCTCTGACCCCGACTGGGTACAACGGGCTCTCGTACGAATCAACACTATGCGACAAGGAAAGAAAAGTCTTCGCGAATTCCTTGCAGACTTCGAACAGACCTTGACCACGGCAGGAGGACTTAATTGGTCAGATGATCAGAAGAAGGCCCTCCTCGAGACTGCTATCAACGTCGATTTACTCCGAGGCACAGTTAGAGTTTTCTCCAATTCGTACGAGGACTACCGGAACAACCTACTTAGGATTGAACACAATCTCCAACGAGTAGAAAGACTCAGCAAAAGAAACCCACGATACACCACTACTAGTCCTACCTCTTAGCCTATAGTGCCTAAGGCTGATTCGGAACAAATGGATTAGTAGCCAACCTACGCTACAAAGATCGCTACCCTTGAAGCACAGATTGCTACGCTTCGTACGAACCCTAGACTATCTTCCCAAAGGGCAAAATGGGTTTCCGAAGCAGAGATCTAGTAACGTAGGACTAGCGGAGCATACATTCGTTGTGGAGGAAAAGAACACCATATTGTAGCTTGTCCTCAAAAGCCTACTCTCCGCCCATCACAGATTGCCAATATAGAGGCTACGGAGTAGGATCAGAGTAATAGCGATAGTAAGAGTTTGGGAAAAGAGTAACCCTCGTGCAAAAACGCGTACGAGGGAAACTAGATACTTCGAAAATACCACAAGATTAGAAAACTTTTGAAGAATCGCGTATGCACTCTCCTCCCTTTATTGTCACTACTATCCTCAAACGATATGCAGTGGCTCAGACCCTTATTAATGATAGATGTCTATCGTACGGAGCTATCACTAAGCAATTTATGAAGAAACATAGTTTGCCCGTGTTTAATATCGCACTAAGGCCTATAAAGGGGGTAGGAGGAGAAGGGACGATCCGATAGGTCGTACGATCAAGTCTCTTAGTTAGGAGCCACTTCGACTAAGTTGCCTACTTTTATGTGATCCCCAACAACCTTGGCTACGACCTAATCCTTAGCCTACCGTGGTTAAAACACCACGATGCCCGCCTCGAACTAGCAAGGGGCCGTTTATTCCTACGATCCTTAGGAGTCCGTATACGGAGCGAAAACGTTAAACCACCCCCTTAACTCGATATCGCAGTAATCTCAGCAACTACAATGCAAGCAAATATTCGTCGTACGAAGAAGGCAATAACAAGCACACCACACTAACCGGAAATCTTCGTAGTGACGATAGCAGACATCGAAAAAGCACTCGCCCTAAAGAAACCTATCGACTATCGTACGAAGCTACCCCTCTAGTACATAGAGTTCTCACGCCTCTTCGACCCTAAAGAAGCAGCGAAGCTACCCCCTCACCGCGGAAATAGTATTGACCACAAAATCGAACTAGTACGGCAAAATAGAGAGGAACCATAGGTGCCCTAGGGTCCTCTCTATAACATATCAATAGAAGAACTACTAGTATTACGGAAGACACTCACAGAACTACTCGACAAGAACTTCATTCGAGTTAGCCACTCACCGGTAGCTGCCCTAGTCCTATTCGTACGAAAGCTAGGAGGAGGGCTTCGTTTCTATATAGACTACCGAGCCCTCAATGCAGTCACGAGGAAGGACTAATATCCTCTTCCCCTTATTCACGAAACCCTAAATCAAATCGGACGAGCTAAGTGGTTCACTAAGCTTAATGTTTCTATAGCATTCTACAAGATCCAAATTGCAGAAGGGGATGAGTAGAAGACCGCCTTTCGTACAAGGTACGGACTCTATGAATGGCTAGTAACTTTATTCGGCCTTGCGAATGCTCCTAGTTCCTTCCAAAAGTACATTAACTAGACATTACGCGAATACCTTAATGACTTCTATTCCGCATACCTTAACGACTTGCTTATCTATTCGGAGGGTAACCTCGATGAACACCGAGAACACGTTAAGAAGGTCCTTAGCAAGTTACAAGAAGCAGGGCTACAGCTAGATATCGACAAATGCGAGTTCGAATGTATAGAGACAAGATACCTTAGGTTTATCGTACGAGCAGGTAAAGGAGTACAAATGGACCCTAAGAAGGTCGAGGCTATTTAGGAATAGGAGACACCAACGACCGTCAAAGGGCTACGAGGGTTTCTAGGGTTTGCAAATTTCTACCGATAGTTTATTGAGGCCTATTCGGAGATTACACGACCCCTTATCGATCTCACACGAAAAGACACTCCGTTTTAGTAGACTAAAGTCTATGAAGGGAGTTTCTAAGAACTAAAGAGACTCTTCACCATAGGTCTAATCCTTGCCACATTTAGCCCATCTCGTACGATAGTTATGGAGACGGATTCGTCTAGTTATACCGTTAGTAGAGTGCTTTCCTAATACGACGACTAAGGACGCCTGCGACCTTGCGCCTATTTCTCAAAGAAGAACACGCCTATAGAATGCAACTACGAAATCTACGATAAGGAATTACTTACTATCGTACGATGTCTAGAAGCATAGGATGCGGAACTACGGTCTATAGAAACTAAGTTCACCGTTATCACGGACCATAAGAACCTTGAGCACTTTTTCCGCCCTTAGAAGTTGATAGAACGGCATATGCGATGGTCTCTCTTCCTTAGTCGATTCAATTTTAAGTTCAAATATCGTATAGGGGAGGAGAATGCTAGGGCAGATGCACTATCCCGCCGAGAATAGGACAACCTAATAGAAGAAGACCCTAGGGTCTAGGATCGTACGATATGTCTTCTCCGCCCTATAGAAGACGGTGTAGTAATGAATATCAACGCCCTTACTATAGATATAGACTAAGAACCAACGGACGACTAATGGGAATGTGCCTATGACTAAGACTACGACTACTAAGAAGCCATACAAGCCGTTAGGGAAGGTGCTCAGAAGTTTCCCCCAAAGTTGTAGCTAAAGGTTTCTATATCTGAGTGTTCGATCGACTCCCAAGGGTTCTTACGATTTCGCGGACGGCGATGGGTGCCGTAGTCTAAACCTCTTCGTACGATGTTAATCCAAACGGTACATGATTCAGTAATCACTAGCCACCCTAGAAGAGAAGAGACCTATACTATAGTTAGCCGCGAATACTTCTAGCCAAGAATGTCTCATGATATCCGGCGGTTCGTACGAAACTACGACCTATGCGGAGGAGGGAAGGCATAGAGAGAGCTCAAAAAGGGGCTTTTAAAGCCCCTACCGGTCCCTAATCGTCCTTAGCAAGATGTTGCCCTCGATTTCGTGACTAATCTCCCTCGAAGTAACGATTATACTAATATCTTAGTGATTACTGATCGTTTGACGAAGGGGGTGATATTAGAGGGAATGGGAGAAATTACTACGGAAGCCACGGCCTAGGCAATTATTCGGACACTCGTACGACGACATAGGTTTCCGTCTTCTATCGTCTTAGACCGTGGTACCTAGTTCACGAGCTCCCTTTGGTCTCGGATCTGCTAGCTATGTAGGATCGTACGACGCCTCTTAACCGCATACCACCCTAAAACCGACGGACAGACAGAACGGCATAATAGCATAATAGAGACATACCTACGCCTCTTCGTCCGATACGAATAAGATAACTGGTCACAACTCCTACTAATGGCCGAATTGGCATTAAATGGTCTTGTTTCTGTAGCAATAGGACTAAGCCCCTTCTTTCTCTCTTATGGGTACAACCTATCCCTATTTCAACCTTAAGAGAACCTAGAGGACTTATTAGAAACACTACGAAGCCTAATATAGAAAGCAGAGGCAATCGTACGAAAGCTTGCTAAGGCTAGAGACTAGGCCTATGCATTAATTGCATACACGAATCAAGTAGTAGAGTCTAATGCAAACCGACACCGAGACCCTACACCTAGGTACCGCCGTGGAGACTACGTCTGGTTAAGCCTAAAGAATATCTAAACGGATAGGCCATGCCGGAAGCTTGACTAGAAGAATACAAAATACGTGGTACAGAAGGTGATTGGATCACATGCAGTACGCCTGAATACTCCCCCTGGAATTCACCCTACCTTCTATGTGAGCCTCGTACGACCTGCTGCAACGGACCCTCTACCTTCTTAGAAGAGACATGAACCCTAACCGCCAGCAATCTTAGTTGATGGTCACGAGGAATGGGAAATTGAGAAGATCATTGACGAACAACGAACGAAATAGCGAGGCAACTCTCGTACGAAGTACAAGGTGAAATGGGTGGGATATACGCAACTAACTATAGAGCCCGCTGAGGCCCTAGAGAATACCGCTGCTCTAGACGACTGGCTTAACCGTACGGAACCATTTCGACGCCCTAATGGATCACTCGACAAGTCAGCCTATCGTACGAGATACTAGTGTTTACTAAACACTACGATAAAAAAAAAAAAACCCGTTCTCTGGTAAAATTTTTCAGAGAAGGTAGATTGATGAAGAAGGAGAGTTGGGAAGGGCACGCTCAAGCCTTTTATACTCCCCTATCGCTTACATCGTCAACCTTGTGACCGCTGCCTAATCGCAAACAAACGTTAGGAGGAGAGGGCTAATGTTATAGGACCTTCGTACGAAGTCCTGATATTGTTATACTCAGCTGAAGCTTCGTGACTATTGACCGCCTTTTCGTTCTGCCATGTTTACCCACGCATCTTGTTTCCCCTTTCTTCCCCTTTTCTTTCTTCCTTTCTTTAATGAATCCTTCTTGTGTATAGGACATACCATCAATTGACACAATTTGGTCTGATCCCTAACAGTCTTGGCGTAGTTAAAATCAATGAATTATTTTGATAGGGTGCGACTAGTATGAAGCATCACCACCATTAGTAGGCCAATCACCCACCACATATATCACAATGTGAGGCTAGAAGATTTTTAGGGGTAAATCAGCATTCAGAGAACTCCTAGCTTTCAATTCAGCGTCTTACAACGACTTTGTGTGATAGTCAATTTTGTACTAAGGTCAACATATACGCCGTTATTACATATATATACATCCGCATATCCACCATTCGATTTTACTATGTCCCAGCCCACCGCCAACGAGCTTTTTATCCGACTCATGCGGTATTCTGTGATTATATGTCGACGGTGTCAACATGCAGTATATCCCACCTAAGTCACAGCCTATTTAACTGGCACGCGCCATCGCTTAGCTGCAGCCGATGCCCGATAGATCCAGGCTATAGTCCAACAGTGGGATGGGATAGCTCAGGACATTTCCGAGCGGTTGTTCCCAACACAGGTGCAGAAGCCCATTATAGGACTTCAGATTTACACTGATGGCATACTATGTACACACGTTGATAACTGTGGGTATGTATGTCGTAGTAAAGAGAGCATCCGCAAGCATTGGCGGACCAAGCACAATTGGACGCCATTCCACCATATGGGTCACTAGAGGCCAGGCGAGAGTCAGGCTGCGTAGGATGCGATGCAGGGTGCCATGATGGCCATTTCATGCCAGCGTTTTTTTGTCTATGGCACCGCATCCCATTACATCCACATCCGACAGCCTGGGCCCGACTATGAACTAGAGCCGCCGCAGCCGCGGTCCGACTTGGTCCATGCCGCGACCTAGCATCTCGAACAGCTATATATCGAGTCGCAACCATTAGGGAAAATCCGACTTCGACTAACAGCCACATGGGTGTTTTTAAACCAAATAAAGTGATATAATATAGAAATAGGTCGGCTGATTCTAAATCTTTAAACAGATTTTTATTAAATTGTAGGGCTATTGAGTTATAGCCTGTCGAAGTTGGCGTATTTTTCGGTGTTATGAGGCAAATGAGGGAAACTATTTTCTGGCACCCGAGAGGTATCCCAAGGCTAGCACCCAATAAAGCTTGGGGGATTTGCTTTATTACTATATTGCTCCACAACAGAATCGAGTCAAGTTTGTGGTGATTGCTAAGAAAATGAATTTCCCCTCGGCTCTGGCCCTCCCCAAGCCGAAAGGATAGCGGCAACAAGCCCGCAGAACAATTATAGTGAAATAGAAATAAGCGCTTAATGAAAATTGAGGGAGAAGCTCTTTCGAATGCGCTTTGAGTCAATTGAAACCATTAGCAGCAGTATTCGCTTGATGATGCGCTGCTTATTAGGCTCGGAAATGCCGTTCAATATGGAAAATAGCTATCATTGAGCATGCTAAGCGCTTGAGTGAATATATTTTAGGCATTTAGAAGTGCCTTTGCAGCTATTGGTGTCACTAATTTGGTTTTCCGATGTGTTCGTCAGGTTCAAATTGCGAATCGACAACCAATGTTTCATTGCTCATACCCTAGATTATCTTTTGCAAAATCCACTTGACAATGGTATCCATCATCTCTAGTGAAAGCCAATGTCCCGTATTCTCGAAAGTCTTCAGAAAAACATCATTCCACATTCCGTATTTCTCAACCCAGGGCAGAGTGAACTTGCTTGGAACAACTATATCAAGGGCACCATTCAAGATCAAGATATGCTTGCCATAAATCTGCTCGAGACTCTGGTCTCGAGCTCTGTACATCGCCGAAATTGATTCAGGCCATCTTGCCAAATCGGTGACATCTTTGCCATCTTCGGTGCTACAAAGTCGTTCGACGAGCAAGTCCGTCAAATTTGGGGAGCCCACGATGGCAATGGCGGCTTTGATTCCTCGCTCCTTGGCGAGAACATCCCACGCGGTGTGGCCCCCAAGCGAGAATCCTGACATGACGAACTCAGTTGGTGTAAACCGATCTTCCACATAAATTTTGAGATACTTCATCACAATTTGGATGTCCATCACAGTGCCGTCTGTAATTAGATTATGAGATATGATGCTGGGTAGAAGTCAGGTCTGCGAACCTATCATGGCGAGCATGTCGTGTCTGGTGTTCTGTAAGCTTGTGAATCCATCAAGAAAAGCAAAGTTGGAAGAGTGTCGGCCGAGGGGGGAGAGAGGGGGTGGGGGGTGGGGGGCGGGCGCACGCATGTTTTTGATTTCCTCCCTTCCAGTCCTTGCTGCATATATAACATCAATATAAGCCCAAGATGAGTCTGCCTAAAATTTCTGCAGTTCTTACACAACTAATGAGTTGACCTGTAGCATTACAATAGAACGTGAATATAACAATATCAGTGAAAGGCTAGGTCACATGCCGCTCTTGCTCCATGATTGCGATTGTCGAAAGTTGCCACCACGGAGCCTTTAGTCAACTTCTCCGTTTGGTTTAGCTGGAAGAGAAATTGGTGTGCAAACACTTCGGCATCTTCATAGCTCCTTGTTCGCCCATGCACGTGGAATAGAACTACTGTGTCGTTGGCCTGTTGAGAGGATAGCTCGTGAACGCCGTAGAGATACACGTAAAAGCCAGCGATGTTTATTGTTGTCTTGCTGGATTTCATTGTGCTCTCTGGCAGCTTGGTGAATGGCTGGCTCCGAAACGCCATGGCAGGTGTGAAAACAATAGGGTTCGGTCCACGTCGCAAGGTTGAGTCGGGGGGAGTTGGAGGGACGAGATGTCCAATTTGTAGTCGAATGTGGATAACAGGCGGTATAATAAGTCAGGGCTCTTAGCGGGCCTCTTTAACACAGCAGCACCATTCCGTCGGGTACTGTGGATTCTATGGCCGAATTTGCCACGACTGTATCGGGTTCATATCGCCAACAGAATAAGGTAAAAACGGGGCTCAGGGAGGGCGTCACATTAACAGAAATAACTTCGTTGCGTGTTTCAAATGAGACTACCTAGGCATAGTTGAGACTCCTGAAAGCTGTTTGCTCTCTTTGGCTCTCCTACCCCGAGAATGCAAATTGAGACAGGGGCTGAATGAACAAAGTAGTAGAATAAGAGTATTGAAATATCTTTTCTCTGACTATATATTATAGTTTCCTCAACAGTTGCCACGTCGCAAGATGGATGTATGTTCAGACGGTCAGTAACTTGTACCCGCAGAGGTGAGTTCAGATGCTACGATCCCTGTCCTCATTAGCCAAATGTAAGAAAGCCTTCCCTGCCGTGGTGTAGTTCGACTTTCTCTAGAATCGCGTGTCATATTGCAATGCCAATCTTGCAATTATATTTGTTTAGCGCAATCATGCGTGAAGATGAGCGATGGCAGGAAAGCTTGGGCTATGTGCAATGAAAGTCCGATCACGTGCTGCGTTTCCCCGTATGATCCGAGAGGCAGAGGTCCTTACGTAATAAATACCGCGGAACTAACTACAAACTCCGTCGGACTTTGTAATTAGAATCCTTATTATTGCAGGTTTTCCGAGAAAGCGTCTAAACTTACGTGCATAATCAGGACGCCCTCAAGTATGTGGTGCTTCAGCGCGATTAGTACTATTCGAAGGCCTCGATCCCCCGCGAACGAACTTGGTTCAGCCGCATTCTTGCGTCACCCATGGAAGGGGTTTGCCCCAATTGAATCAATGGTTTGACACGCCACCTATCCTTGCATAACCTTATAAGAAGCTTTTCAGGTTCGGTACGTGGTGTATCAAGCTTTTTGTAATTTGTCTAGTTGACATCATCTCTGGTAGAACTCGGCTGAGCACTGTCACACTTTGCCAATGTGTATGAAACACCGGAAAATACTTAAGGACAAATGATTTGGTAATTTCTTCCACTTGATTTTTCCCATAAAGTGGAAATACGCACTCACTTTGAACCCATTTCCATCGTACGATGTCCCCTCCTCAAGCTATTGAAGGCGCTTGCAATTGTGGTACCATTACGGTCACTATTCCTAGAGCTTCCTTCCCTCAGGCTAGCTCAGTTTGCCACTGTCGGAATTGCAAAGCTTCCGCTGGTTCATTGTGAGTGAGAGATCTGTCAGTGTTCTCGTATGGTGTTGATTGGACCGTGAGAATCCAGGTTTTCTGTGAATATTCTTGCATCGGCAACGGATGTGACCGTCACGGGAACTCCCAAGGCCTTCAAAGAGACCGAATGTGCATCAGGCCATCAGATGAGCAGACTCTTCTGCTCTGACTGTGGGTCGTAAGTTTGACCTATCTTGCAGGTTTTCTCATGTTCACTTAGGCTTTATTAATGCTCCTGGCGTTCGCAGACCGATCATGTCAGTAGTGATTGGAGATGAAGGTTCCGTATACTTTAAGGGGGGGCTATTTGCGAAGTCGGGGATCGATCTACCTCCACCTACATTTGAAGCTTGGTTGCGACGAGCTGAAACTTGGGAGAAACGATTTGATAACTGCGAAGCTACGGATTGAACCAGGGGTGATAAAACTCATCAATAATTTATCAGAAATTGAGATCTCTAGCAAGGTCAGAGGTTCCTTTCGTCAAGATCCATCTTCAATAATTTGAGGGTTTGAAGGGTTTACATGAGAGTCACCCATAGCTATTGAACAATCATATCTAAGGTCAGATAACTAAGGGGGCTACATAGAGGTAGAAACACGGTTGCTTAAGTCGTATATTCAAGTAGGTTTAGAGAAAATATAGGAATTATTCCATGGTCAGAACTCCAGGGTTTTCATCATTAAGCCGGTTGACTTTAGTCCTCTTTAATACACAAAACTTTATGGCTTTCACACGGATCAAAGCTTTTCGTTACATGTATCTGAAGTTCAACCCTGACCAGGTGTTGTTCTGTCTCGTAATTTCCTTTACGTCAATATCAAAAGCGAGCTCATCATATGGTATTTACATGACACCTCGCTGCAATTGTGAAGTATCAATAAATTTACCGGGAAAAGTTGGGATTAGAGGGATCGATAATCATTGTAAGCTCTTATCTACAGGAATTTTATGCAAAATGACTTTATTTGAAAGGACTCGCCCGCTTCTTATTTTGTTGACCGAATTTAGCATTGGAATACTCAAGAAACAGAAGTCTAATATAAGTCAGAACTTCAAAACCGCTTTTCCCATGTTGACTCCGTTAAAAATACCAACCAGGCCCTCTGCTGCATTTTCAATACCCTGTGTCTCATGAATGAGTGCTTTGAACGAACCATCCTTGATCCAGTTCTGCACATTTTCTTGATGCTCCTTCGTGTATTTGTCCCCCATGCCTGGATCTCCGACAATGAATCCACGCATTGTTAAACGTTTGAATAGCATGTTGTCGATATTCTTGATTGGATATGGCGCCGAGTTGTACTGTGAAATCAGACCACAGACCACACTACGACCAAACTCCTTCAATGTGTCCAAAGCTGCTTCGAGATGTTCGCCCCCCACGTTTTCGTAGTAAATATCGATCCCACCTGGAGCTAGACGAGCTAGGGCGTCTGCGGGTGTCTCTTTCTTGTAGTTGAAGCCGCTGTCAAAGTTGAGCTCCCGGGTGATGTAATCAAGTTTTTGGTCACTCCCGACACTGCCGATCACTTTGAGTCCTTCGTGCTTAGCAAGTTGTCCAACTAGTTGTCCAACTGCTCCGCTCGCAGCAGATACAAAAATTGTCTCCCCTTTCTTCGGCTTCCCAATTTCAAACAGAGACGAATAAGCTGTAAGGCCTGGCATGCCAAGGGCCCCAAGAAACACGCGGATGTCTTCAATTCCGAGGGGGTTTTCAAGATGACGAAGCTCAGTGACTTCATATCCACCTAATATGTTGTATTTCTGGACAGAAAGATGGCCAATCACCATGTCGCCTTCCTGAAAATGCGGGTTATTGGATTGGATAACTCTGGCAATGGCGGCACTGTCAATTGGTTTGTTGAGCGTAAAGGCAGGCGTGTAAGATTTGACCACGGCAGGTCGCATGCGAGGACGCATGTATGGGTCAAAGCTAGCGTAGAGGGTCTGCAAGATGAGGCCATTCGGAGGTGCAGTCCTTCGGGGTGCCGGCCACAGTATCAACAAAAAGGTGTTTCCCAGGAACTGGATATCCCTCGGGGATTCCTTTAAATATGAGAGCTTTGTTTTCGGACATTTTTCACAGGTTTGAATGATATATAAGAAGGACTGGGCCGGTTGAGATGTCACAGGAGCGTGCGTAGAATTGAAGAGGTTCTTATATACGTCCCTTGGGGATAATCTGATTTATCATCGTACAGATTAAATTACGAGATGGAATGTAATGGACCACGCATGATATGTCTCAGAAATCTTGGGCTTGTCATCGACAGTGGGTTTGGCGACTCCGTCGGAACTATGTAAGCGCTGTGGCGTTACCTGAAGATAATTAAGTACCGTACTGTCGATAACCGTCGGAGTTATCAAATCTGCACGCCACAAAGAGATTTGATTCCCTCTTGTAATTTCCTGTATGGGTAGATAACTGTATCTATACGTTGGAAGCTGTAGCTTGATAAATTAATAGAAATCCCGGAGCTACAACTAACCAACAATCATATTTAGGACAATGCGAAGTCAAACAAGGGCACAAAGTGTACTCAAGGTGTACTATTGTACTGTATCTCGTTGTCTTTATCCGAATACACTTTTTCTCTAACCCTCAAAAGTTTTATCAGTAGCTATGGAAAGTTTCAATGGCATAATGATAGAGTTTTAGGGCTTTAGGGCTTAGGGTTTAGGGCTTAGGGTTTAGGGCTTTAGGGTTT